CTGAGAGGCAAGGAACCAGCAATGGTGGATGAACAACCAGAACTTTCCGCCAGAATTTACAGCCAGTGAACACAAAGAAGAAGAAGACAAAGAAAAAGATGAAGAAGAAGAAGAAGACAAAGAAAAAGATGAAGAAGAAGAAGAAGAAGACCCGGGAACTCAAGTTAAGTAGAGAATGGTAACACTGCTGTCGGGACAGCACTTGGTTCTGTCTCCTTTGATTGCATCAGCAGTGCAGTAGTCCTTTTCAGTGCTCTTGGTGGTGTGCAATGCTAAACCAATTTAAATGGCACACATAAGCTAGTCACAAATATAACCTAAAGCTCCTCCTTCGGGAATGATGGTTAAATCGGACGATTTTTTTACTTTTTGTTATTGGCCTTCTGGCCCAAATTCCCTTTGCAGAAACAAGCCATGAACCAAGAAATTCCTTAAACAAATTTGCTTTAAAAAAGTAACAACAACAACCAAGATATCATGTGAACCAAGAAGCCCTTACCAATAATGGGCTTGTGTGGGGTGTTCAGATATTGTGCTTCAGGTTTAATCACATATATTTATTTTATTGCTCCCGTCTGTCTTGTGGTGACAACAGTTATTGTAGATAGTTTCAAAATACAGACTGTTCATGACTGGATCAGGCACACCAAGTAGTGACTGCAGACTTGATTGCAGTTGTTTTTAATTTCCCTACTGCAGTCATACATCTGCTCGACTGACAGGTATAGTTCTTCATACTGGACCTTCATTCACAAATGAATTTATTCAGGTTTCTCCCCCCTTCACTAATATTTTTAAAAAAACGCTGCTCCTCTTTGGTGCTTGTCACAAGTAAGGCGGGAAACTTTAAACTGTCAGTATAAAGTCACTGTTTTTGTTTACACCGTGATGTCCCATGCTTAATACTGTTGACATCCTTAACAATACCGACACATCAGAAAACAATTGCAACGCCATTGCATTTTTTAACACATTTGTTAAGGTTTTTATTTGAAGCCCCTCTGAAAATGTGTATTTAGATTCTAAATTTATTTCTCATTCATCCACAAGTAGTTAAAAAACAGAAGCAAACACCACCAGCAAATCAGATTTATGGTGCAAGATCCACACTGTTATAGATCGAACAGAACTCGATGGGTTTTATGGTCAATACCTTACTGGCTGCCTTTAGTTCCTATGTTTTTTCCAAGTACTCATTTTTTTACATGGGAGAACCCGGAAAAACAGGTCATTTATAAAAAAAATATATATTTCGATGCAGATTTAAAGCTAAGACCTTAAGGCTGGCAGGCAAACACCGAGCTGCCGTGCTCCCAAATCATTCGCAGAATGGATGAATTATTGATGTGCTCTGCGACTCATTGAACTCCTTGTAGACTATGTAAAGATAGTCCCATAGCATAAACTGTCGCTGGAACATGAAGTGCCAGACATTCAGATATTCTAGTCTACACTATATGAGGTTGGGTGGCCAGCTTGCTTCCTCAAAATTTTTCATTACGATAACATGTAAAGTATGTACATACATTTATTCTTGCTATTTTTCTACAACTTAATAACTTCTCTGATTCATTCTTCACTGACCAAAGACTGTAGAATGAAGTGATGTCAAGCGTGCACGTAGACATAATGTTAAAGTTAAAAATTAAAAAGTTAAAAGAAATGACTTCATTGCACTGGGTTCAACCTATATGGCTCGGTCTCACTTTGCAGAATGGCTAGCTTAGCTGACAGTGTCGCACATGAGCATTAACTCGTAGCTCCTGGGACGAACCTCAGAGCTCAAAATGCTCGACCACTTTGCCATGGAAACCCTCGAAGATTTAATGTTTCTTTCTTGGTATCTGTCTGCCTCTTTTCCCCTCCAACTTTCCTACTGTCACGATGTACTCCAGTTTTCTTTTTCTCATGGCATGACCAAAGAATGTACATTGTCTTTCTGATGTGGGCAATCAGTTCTCTTCATCAGTCAGTTTCTTTCAATTCATACTAGAGACAACACTGCAGATATAGATAATTTATTTCAAGCGAACGAAAGAAGAAGAAGAAGAAGTTTCTTTCAAGACATCACTCTTTTTTTTTTTTAAGCCTGTTTAGAGTGTTCTCATCATTGGTCTATAAAACCACATCTCTTCGACTCCAGAAAACACTTGGCAAGCATGAAACAACTTTTGCCTGAGCAGGGATGTACTGTATTACATGTATTATTGGCCACTGATTAGCACAAACTTTTCAATAAACTTGGTTTTTTTAGTCCCTTGAATTTGTATTAACAAGATTTTACTGTTTTTCTTTCTGCATAATGTGTAAAGCAAGCGCCAAAAGTAAGAGTAAAGGATCCTTTTAGTTCCATTGGTATTTCACTATATTGTGCTTGATGCATATCTTTTGGAGACAAATCCAACATCAAATAAGCCACTTTCACTTCAAACATTTCCTGGTACTCAATTTATTCTGTATTGACCTAGGAGCTCTGGGTCAAATATAAAGAAAATGTGTGTTACAACATGACTGTGCAGTATATAGGCGATTCAACTGTGGAGCACCTAAAAGCACACTAACCTACTACAGTGAGTTAAAGAAATTGTATATGAGACTCCCGGTCTAAAATGGAGGACTAAGCATGGCAGAATGTTAAGTTTCGAAGTTATTTTTGCTTTCGACAGCACATTGCTTATGCAGTTTCCACATATGGACAGAGTATCTATGGTTTCGCTACCTGAGATACTGCTTGGTGCAGCCCTGTGAGCTTTGTTTTTTTTTTTCATGTAGAATGCCTTTCATTTGTGCAGCAGTTCAGTCGCTGTGATCAATATGGCCGGTACCCGGTTTACATTTGGGCTGGTAAAATACTTTAGGTAATGATTCTACGTTTGCATAGCCAGCTTATGCATATGCATATTTCTGGATTGTGTCGGGACTAACTGTCTGTTCACCAGTTTTTCAAACGGGACAAGGAAGAATGTTTCATTTGATTTTCACTGGCACAGGAACGAAGCAAGTATGTGGTGACTCGACTGCAGTGAAGCTGAAATTTCATTTAAGACTAAGACTAAAGTAATTGGTTATTCTCCTCAAGATGTTGAAAATAAACCAATATTTATGTGCTATTGGTTGGTTTTATTGTACAGAAGAAACACCCACTTTAATGAGGTAGTTGCCAGTGTGGGTTCCTTGGCCAACATTTTAGAGAAAATAATAATAGGTCCAAAGGTTATCAAAATTAACAAATCAGGGCTGTTTGCTTCATTGTTGGAGAGGATATGAATGAGAGGCGGGAAACCAACAGTCTGCACACAAATAAGCCAGATCTGTAAAGTGGATGTGTATGCACAACTAAAATTCTGGAACTAGACCAAAGTCCAGAAGTCGATGAACAGTCAGAACTTTTCACAGGAGTTTGAAGCCGGTGAATGCTAAGAAGAAGAAGAACTTGGGAATAAATATTAGATCAGAATTGTGACTTCTCCACTATAAAAACCAAAATTAGTCAAAGGCAAATCCATGCAAACCATGTCAGGAGATTGAACATCCCTTGCTGGATCAACAAGACTGCTGAGTTGCAGATTCTTTTCTGCACTGTCTGATTGTGTCACAGGGTCAGACGAGTTCAGTACCTGACCAGCATGTGCTTCATTCTGTCTGCATCTGTGGATTATCCCTGGACAGTCACGATGCTGAACCACACTGGTGACTAGGTTGTGACCGTCAGTCAATACTTCCATCTTCTCTCTCAAGTCGTGTCCATTAACTTCTCCACCTCCAACATTCATTGTGTTTCTCCATGCTGCACCTAGTGGATTCTCAGAAGTAACTTCTTCTTCTTCTTCTTCACTTCCTCTTTTACCGCTGTGGGTGTCAAGGGAGATATAAGGTTCTGTTTCTAGCTCTTCTGGCTGCCTCGACCATAGGCACATCGTGCTGTTGTAGAGTTTCTCTGATGTTATCCTTCCATCTTGTTCTTGGTCTACCCCGTGCTCCACGTCCTTCTTCTCTTTCCATGTATGCTTTGTATGGTATGGTTCAGAAGTAACTGATCTATCTAAATCCTTATCATCATCAATAAATGGCATAGTCTCTAACTTCGTTTCTAAAAGACAACATACTTCGGCATCACTTATTTCAGGTATCAATTCTGAAGGTAATAATTCACTGTATGCTAAATTATCTACTGTCAGTAGACGTTTTTCAGAAAACAGTTCATCATTATGTAAGTCTTTAGATGATTTGTCCATTGATACATTGAAGGCATCCATATTTGCTTGAAGATCTTGTTGCATAGAAAATCTACGCTGTCTGCAATGAATACAGCCATCCTGACTTCTGATGACCTTCCCCTCAGTCAATTTAGAACTTCTAATAGGATCGTTTTGCCAAGCAAGATTCTGTGAGTGCAATAAATGAGGCAACATTTTCAGATGGTTTTGAATTATTGATGAATTCTGCGAAACATTACGATTAACGGGTGCAGATGTGTCTCTGCATTCCTGAACATGTTGAATACAAGTGTCTGCCTCAAAATTATCTACATCAAAACTTGCCCCTGAACTCTGCAAACAGTGCCAGCACATGCCTTCAACAGTTTTCCAAGCACTTTCACAGCCAAGTTCCGTGAATGACTTTACAAACATGGAGTCATTATCTACAGCACTACCATTCATAATGTTTTCATATGTAAACTTCTTTATGATGTTCTGCAGTTTATGCTTGCCTTTTTCCAGTAGTCCATACGGCCTGTCATTATGTATCACACAAGTGGACATTGTATTGCTGTGTCTATTTCCGACTAGATCTGCTACACTCAATGACTCTGAAGTTTCTTTACCAGATTCTGTTAAACTATTCTGCATTCCTTGACAAGGATAACATGTAGAGCTCTGATCACCAGGTGCTTCATCTGTTTCAGGTGGACAGCTGCGGTTATCTTTCTCCAGAAGGATGTAAGATTTGTCCATTCTGATGCTACAGATGATGTGCATGGTGTAGAGCTCCATGTATTGTCATAACCCTGGGAAGCGTCCGGGGTCCTCCTTGTAATGTGCCGGCACAGAGAACAAGCTGCTGTCCAGATCATCTGTCCACTGAAAGCTGGTGAAAGTCACTTTGGCTGAAACTGTTGGGAACACGGGGATCTCTGTGAAAGAAACAATATGCTGAAATATGTTTAAATTATTTAACACTTAACAACACATTGCGCTTGGGCCAAAAATTGAAGCAAGGAATATTGTGCCAAATACTTCTTTGTCCACCATATGAGGTGATTAAGGAAATGCTACTTCATCCTGCAGAAAACTGCAGCTGCAAAATCTAAACACAAGAATAAGTCTCCAAAAGGATTGGTGTGAGCTGGTTAAGGACTTGTGCTCCAACGGGGAAAGAAAAATGACGAGGAGAAGCAAGAGAAGGAAAGGGGTTAAAAGAAGATTGGAGAAGGATGAAGAGGAGGAAGAAGGAGATGAAAGGAAGAAGGAAGATGGAGAAGAAACAGAAAAAAGAAGATATACACATAGGAGGAGGAGGAGGAGGAAGAAGATGGCAAGATAAACAAGAAACAAATTATTTTCTATATTTTTTGTATTATATTTTCTTACACAGATGATGTATCTGTGGTTTTGGTGTTGAGAACATGCTTCATAATTCTGAAGAAGCTGGTTCCATTCCAGCTGCCGACCACCTTGCACTGATTTCAACAGTTATATCAAGAGCTGACAACTTAGAAAGCAAGGGGAACTACTAAATGTAAAACTGCCTAGTAACATCAAAACAGCCAACACATGCTGGAGATGGTCTGCAACACCTAACAAAAGAATTGCAACTAACTTGACTCACTGGAGGGGAAAGCTGAAAGCAGCAGCAGACAGTCAGTGGTATGAGATAGAAAATAACACAATGAAGAGATGCAAAAACAGCAGTTTGAGAGGATACAATCAAGGTCAGAGGCAGAGAATCTTGAAGATTAATTGCAGCCAACCTTCATCATGGAAAATAACGGACTATATACCAGGGCTATTCAAGAGGCAGCCTGCAGGCAAAATTTGGCCCACGGGGGTTTATCAAGTAGTCCTGCAGATCACTGCCAACTGTACTGTATGAATGAGCTTTCCATGCTTGGGGTGGGGCCTTTGTTCCATGACAATCTTCATTTTCAAAATTGTGGGCCTTGATTAAACTTAGCCGAATGGTCCTGGTGGTTACCATTGTAATCTATCCAGTTGATTCTTAGTCCTAATCTAACTCATCTTCTTCTTCGTGTTCACCAGTTGTAAACTCTGGCAGAAAGTTCTGGTTGTTCATCCACTTATGGACTGTAGCCTATTCCAGAACCTGAGTGTTGCATGAGCATCCAACTACAGATCTGACTTATTTGTATGCAGATTGTTGGTTGACTTCGAAGTAAGCTTCCGATTAGTCAACATTTACAACATGCTTTTGGGCAGGCAGTGGGTCTATTCCTGTTTTCCCTTCAATAGGACCCAGGAACCCACATGGGGATAGCTCGTCTTATCCATGACTAGGTAGCTAGTCACGCTACATGACACATGCTCTGGAGGTTGGAGTTTGTTTCACAGACTGCATTACGTAATTCATGTGTGCAATTATTCAGAGATCCATAAGGATTGATGCAGGAGAATTCATGCTTTGTACAACTAAAGAACATATATTATTACAGGTAAAACAGGTTATATTTTAATATGAAAATCAAGTTACACAAAACAGATTTTCTGGATAGGAAAATCATGTTATGCAGAACACATTTTCTTATATGTTACATAGAACACACATCATTTCATGTTACATCTTCATCATCCTGTTATGTTGCTATACATCATACGGGGGCTACAGTCTAGTCTTCACTTCTACCCAGTACAATCCTTTCATAACATAACATACATAAGATAGCCTTTGACCCGTTAGGGTCATGGAGGTGTATCAATGGAAGTACTAACAGACAAAGCCCATATCTTTCTCTGTCCTCAGCCTGACTAATAAGTGTACAATAACTTACTCTTGTCCATTTCTTGATGTTATCATTTCAGATTCCTCTTTTCCCTCCTCTTTTTCGTCCCCCCCCCCCCCCCCCCCCCCCCCCCCCCCCCACCTTATGTTCCTTGAAGTACAGTCTTTACAACCGAATCATGACTCACCACAATCCTGAACCAAGCTAACTTGTGATGTTTCACCACTGCCAAGAGAGGCTCCTGATATCCTGCAAATTTATTCTTTTCACATCACTGATGGGGTTTCCATATTCAAAATGGTGAATAACAGCAGATTTTTCTCCTTAGTTGGTGTTGCTCTCGGACTGTTCTGCTTCCTTAACATAGACTGCTATTTTGTGCACATTTCCAACGCAAGATACTGTGTGTTTTTCGTGGAAGGAGTGTGTATTGTGGTTTTGCTATGTCAGGGCAGGATAATTACCAATAGTTGGCAGCCTTGACCACACTGCCTTCTCAATGTTTTGATCACTGCAGCCCACTCGGGAAGATAGAATCTCATCAGCAGCGGACTGCAACTGTCTAGAGAGCAAACTCGATAAAAGCTGTCCCCAGAAACAGAATATGTCAACAATTTCTTTTTTGGTGGGGAGGAATCGACACGTACAGTTAACTCAATGGCCATGGCCATGGCCATTTCATTGATGGAATCCAGTCCAGCACCTTTGACCTCTCAACTTTAATCTTAGGGTTCCTGATGGATGTCTCGTTTCTTCAAATCCATTTGTTTAATATCTCAGTGGCTGTTTGCTGACTGTCTGTCCATTTCTTCTCAAGATATGATCAATATACAGCAGCCTTATACCTGATGATACAAGCGGCTGTCTAAACATTTACATTACTTCTTCTCCTTCAGGTTACACACAGCAAATCTATTCTTTTATATACAGAACATACCTATCCTAACAGGAAAGCCAGGTGGCAGCTTTGAGGACATGAAGTCCCTTAACTTCTGGAACTGCTTAAACGGAGCCATGACTTCAAGAACATTCAGAAGCCTGAAAAGTAATATATCTATTAACATAAAAAATGTAAATGAAAATAAACTGTACAACTGTACAAGACCCTAACATAAACATAAAAAGCATAGCACAATGATTTCAGCCACCGGCATGAGGCCATGTTAAGGCTGATGTGATATTTCTAAGGAGATACTCTATACCTCATCTCGGACGCCAGCAGGCTCTGGGCTGGTTAGATGGATCCTCAAGCAAGACTCCTGCCACAAGTCCCTATCGTACACTATGGATAATGGCTCATATGGGTCTGAACAAAGCTCACAGAGGATCTCGGAGTTGGGAGCTCCAGAGATGCAGTGTCCAAAAACCCTTTGGCTCTCATTAGCCCCCCTTCCCATCCAATGCATGGGTGATAACGTACATCAAAAACTCATTGGGACATTATTGAAGCCTGCTAGTTAAAAATCCTACAAAATGACAAACTTTGGTTCAAACGTTTGTCAACCAAAAATCCTACTGAATTGCTGATTAGGCTCAAAAGTTTTAGATGGCCGAAAAAAAAAAAAAATTTTACTGTGTGACAGCCCAGACTAAATATCCACTGCCTTAGGCCCCACTTGTCCGAGTGTTGGGAGCAAAGTCAAACCATCAAATGTCCTACTGTGCAACAGATAGGGTTAAAATGTCTGCTGCCATTGGTCCTACATGTCTTAGTGTCAGGACCAAGTTTCTGACTGCCAAATTGGCCTACTGACTGACAAACAAGGTTCAGATGTCTGACCATAAATTGTTCTACTGATTGACTGACAGAAAGGTTCAAATGTCAGCTACGTTGAAGTGTCAGGACCAAAAGGGGTAGCCATGCATGATACACGTTTTCCTATACAGTCGGGTTTTTACCTTTTATATCACAGACAACTTTTTTTATTTTACCTCTTCTGTCCCAAACTATTAATTTACCTTTTCTCTCACAGACAACTTTCATTTTACCTCTTTGGTCACAAACTATTATTTTACATTTTCTGTCACAGACAACTTTAATTTCACTTTTTTCTGTCACAGACAACCATTATTTTACCCTTTCTGTTACAGACAACTTTCACCACAGACAACTTTCATTTTAATCGTTTCATCTGACAGAGCTAATATTTCACCCAAATCATCACAAACAGCTATTAATTTGACTCCTACATCAGCAGCTAATAGTTTAAATCCTTATGCTTGAGGAAGCCGGTTTTTAAACTATCCCAGACAGTTCATTATTTAAACCTGGTCTGCCCCATTATCATCATCATCATGTGCCCTGCCAGCTGGTATAGGCGCGCATGTGTCTCCACAGATCACGATCCCTGGTTGACTGTAACAACTCTCTTGATGATATCCCTCCATGCCATCATTTCAGTCCATCCAGCATCATCTCTCTTGCACTGCCTCTACACCTTTTACCACTGATCTTTTCAGTTGTCACGATGTTCTCCAATGTCTCTCTTCTCATTATGTGGTCAAAGAACAGTGTTTCTATCTTTCTTATTGTTGTACATAGAGATCTACTACTGCCCCATACTGCTATTATTTAACCCCCTTTATACAACATGACTATTATTTTAACCTGTTTGTCTAAGACAGCTATTATTTTAACCATTCTTTATTCCTCTTATTTGTTCACCTGCTATAAGCTCTGGCAGAAAGTCCTGGTTGTTCGCCATAGTTGGACTTTGGCTTTGTGCCAGGGTCTGAGTTTTTCATGTGCATATATTTTCCTGGTTTATTCGTTTGCAGTTCATTGTTCCTTGCTGCTCGGGCAGATGCACTCTGATTTTAAATAAAGTCCCAAATTAGTTGACTCCTAGGACATGCTTGTTGGGGAGGCAGTGGGTCTATTGTTTTCCCCACAATAGAACCCACTCAGGAAAATCCACTCCCCCCGAGACTACTATTATTTTGACATGATCCCCGTGGGCGTTCTGGGGCCCTCTTGTAGGGGAAACATAAATAGATCTACCTCATGGCTATTAAACTACTGACCCTCGGATAAAAAATGGCCCGCAGATGCATAGCAAGTGGACCGAGGATCATTGTCATTTGTATGGTATTAATAATCTTTCTATGATGAGGCTCTGGCCACTGACCTGTGACAATCCCCATTTTGAAAATGTTGGCCCTGAGTTACTTAGTTAAATAGTCCTAACCTACTGCCTATACAAAAGCATGTAGTAAAAGTCGACTAACTGGAAGCTTCCTTCAAAGTCAGCAGGTATCTGCCTGAGAGGCAAGGAACCAACACTCTGCATACAAAAGAGTCAGACCTGCTAAACGGATGCACACGCAACACTCAGTTTCTGGAACAGGACTAGAGTCCAGAAGAGGAAAAACAATCATAACTTTTCCGTCAGAGTTTACAGCCGGTGAAAAAGAAGTAGTAGTTTTGACATAATGTCACATCAAACAGCTTTTATTTTAACCTAATCTGCCCAAGACAGGTATTTATTGTAACCCCTTATGTAGAAGACAGCTTTTACTTTAATATATTTTACAAGAAGCGTTCATTTGAAAACCGTTTGTTCCGCCCCATTTGTAGTTGCCTGATTTGAATACGATTATGTCAGAGTCATGTTATAAGCACTGACCAATGAATAAAAAACACATGCTTATCATCCGGTGAGGCACAGATTCTGTTTATGACGACTGAGAAAATGGCCAGGTTGATCCAAAATCTGTTCAAAGAATCTTAAGGAGTGATGACTCAGTTTTTTTTATTTGAAGGATGTCGATCAGTACCCATTCATTGAAGAATGCAGGCAGCAAACTGTAACACATGTGTGTTAACACTGACAGATTGGGCATGAATATTTTGGAAAGGACGTGAGTTCATGACAGATCTTCCACAGCTGGGTCTAGTACATGTTGTTGTAAGAGAAAAAAACCAGCCAAAATTGATGTAGTAATATAGATGAATTATTGTCAAAGCATTTGTTTGCTAGCAAAAGAATTCAATGCCTCAACTTGGAAAGTTAAAAAATGCTGTTTATAAGCAACAGTAATATCAGAAGGGTATAGTGGCAGGCGATGAATCATGGTGCCATCACTTTGAGCCGAGCAGAAAAAATAAAACATGCAAGATAAGTCTGCTGAATTACCAAAATAAAACAAAAAGCAACCTAAAGAATTCTGCTGGTAAGGTTAGATGAGTGCATTTTCTTTTTTAATGAAGGCCTATTAGTGGCAGACTTTGAAGAACCTGTTGTTAACATCAACTCTACCCACTACTTAGAAATACTAGACAAGCTGCACAAGGTCATCAAGAGTGTACACCCTGACATGCTGTCGCATGGTGTAATTCTGTTGTGTGATAATGCAATAATGTTTCGAGTGAGAAATGACGTGATCATGAAAACTGTTGGAACACCCATTGTCAAATTTATTGAGAAACAAAGAAAGAAATGGTTTGGCAATCTAATGTGAATGAAACCATTGATGCCAGCAGCAAGAGCATTCAACCTGAAAATCGAAACATCAAGAGGCAGGGGAAGAATGAGAAGAAGATGGATTGAAGGAGTCACTGACACCTAGAGACAGCATAACATCATGGCATATCAAGCGATAGAGCGCACTTTGGCTCGGCTACCGATCATTTGAAAAACTATGACACCTAGCGGCATAAGCAGATATTGACAAAAGAAAGAAGAAAAAGAAGAAGATAATGCTCATCCGCATATATAAGACTGCAGGAAGTGTTAGCATGAAAGATGTGGGAAATTCTGCAACATCCAGCCTTTAGTCCTCATTTGTTACCATCAGATTATTATTTGTTTGGACCTTAAAAAAAGCTCTCAAGGGGCAACAGTTTTTCACAGATGAAGACATAATAAATGCGGTAAACACCTGGTTAGCCCTTTGGAGAAGACGTAGCCGAAACATCGGCCCAACACAAAGTAGCCAAAAGGACGACTGGGCCAATCGGTCGGTCCTATATAATAGAAGCCTTAATATTGACTGGCAGGTTTTCGCACAAGCCAATCAGACTGCTTCTCGCATTTCTTACACATGTGGGCTGTTCGCTGATGGCTTTTGAGAAAGTTTGATGTGTTCTGTAATTTTACATAAATTTTTTGTCTAGGGTTGCCTGTGTCCAAAAAATGGTGAAAAGAACTGTTGCGTTATTGCAACTGAAACATAGCTGGAGGCAGGAAAATGAGTAGAACCATGTGCCAGGCGTGTCTGAAGGACTTCCAAGGGCCTTACTTCCCAAAATACATGTGTTAGGACTTATTCAAGCTTCATTCATTCAAAAATTAACCCACATTTTTCAGGTTAGTTACGTCTGTTTCCAAGTTTTATAACAATTGCTTGCATTAATAATGCAAATCAGAATAGTTAATTTGAATAAATGTTGAGATTTCAGTTTGATTCATAAATATTCAGTTAGTTCATTCAATTTCCTACACAAATATATGTAGTTTTGTATATGTTAATTAAACGCTTTATTTTAAATAATTTTTTTGTGTATAAACTATGAGAATCCCCTTCTAAAGGCTCTGTCTTCTTGGCACCGAAACTCCAAAAAGGCTCTGTCTCCAAAGAGTTAAGTCAGCAACTATATAACTTTTTTTGCGGATGGCATTGCTGCCTATCTAAGCAATGGGATGCTTGCCTGAATGTTTACTGTGACTTTTTCTGACCTACGAATTATATATAATTCGTAAAAGACACGCACCTATTTAGGCAGTAATGTAGACAAAGATTGGGACACTGACAGAGATTTAAAATTTGAGTACAAGCAAGACGAATTATTTTTTAGCAGGAGGAATCAGTGGAATTCAAAGTAAATTTAAACCTCGTTAACATGAACTCGCTGGAGAAGAACACTCAGTTAACATAAACAAAATGTTGGTGCAGCAAGAACGTATTATTATTTGAGCCCAGTTAACACAAATGTTTTTTTAAAAACAAACTCTTCATTTTTTGGTTCCTTGGATTGTGTGTGCTAATAAGGTTTTACTGTAGTACTAAACTTGAAATATTTAGCTCTATTTTCAAATCATTCATGCCTCATGAAGCAAATAAAACTATTACTAATAAACTACAAACATTCGTTAACTGGTGCGTATACAGAATAGAGTGAATGAAATGGTATGACAGAATCATAATGTGGAGTTTTGGAAAAGAGGTAAACAAGTTCCACTGAATCAAGCGGTGAAGAAGAGATCTTGGTGTTTGGCAGAAAACATGTTTGAAACAAACATGTTGAGAAAACAAAACAATATAACCAGAATATTTTTTATAATGGAATCCATGCGGTCACAGAAATAAAGGCAGACCTAAATCACACAGAGAAGGGAACCAGAGAGTAAATTTAAAAAGATGGGGATGAAATAGTATGACCTGCATGTGACAGCAAAGAACATGACGACTTGGCATGAGTTTGTTGAGGGTTTATGCTAATGGCAGGATAAAGGGTAAAAAAAATGTTCAGGTCCATCTTAGGCAATATAATAAACGAACATTTAAGTTCCGTAAAGCTAATTTAAATGTATCAGTTACATTTAATCTATACAATACGGTCAGGATCCTTTTTTAGATTAGTAGTATACATTTTATGAAGAAAGTATTAAAGAAGGCTTCTAATGGTATCTCCTTACACTAATGTTCCAAACATTTTACTTTCTTGACATTCAAGGGGCAAGCCCATTGGGTAATGACTCTGAGCGTGTTTCTTACGTTATGTACTACATATTGATATGTATGAAAAAATATTTACATATTTAAGTAGTACTTACACATCTATGGTGACAGGAAATTCGTCACTCTGAAAAACAGTTAAACAAAATTAACGCTTCCTTTCCCAGCAGTTGTTACTCTTGCTTGTTCATTCCTAAGGAGTTGTACCTGATAGTGACAGATGTTTGAGTCTGAAGCAGTTACACAAGAGATACTATGGAAAACAAGGAGTTAAACTAGCGATTAAAGCAGAGAGGATAAATATAACAGCTATCTGTGAAAGGAGGAAGCCAGAACAGTATTTTTTTTTGTATTGGTATTGATTAAGAGATGTGTGGTAAGTGTTTGGTAACTATATAGTAAATCAAGCAGGTAATTCAGTTCTAATCTAAACATTATTAGATACGGCAAAGGGGTTCATTGGAGCCTCGTAGTTAAGTTAGTTGCATATCCTTTACAGGACGTTGCAAAACCAACTCTAACAGGCCCTGGCTGTTGTGTGGTTTCTCTAGGCAATTTACATCCAGTAGTTTGCCATTGCTTTCTGGACGGTCAGCTTTCTTGATACCACTGTCGAAACCAACGCAAGGCGCATTGCCCGCAGCTGGGATCGAACCTGGCATCCCGGCATTACGAAGCGTTCGCATCGACTTAGCCACAGAGCCGATGGAGCCTCGTAGAGACACAGTTAATAAAAGCTCCACATACTATAAGGTGCTGTGGTAGTGTAGCAGCTAGAAAACTGCCTGCAGGCCTGTAGGCCTAGGTTTCAAAGTGCTTTGATCTTCTCCGGAGTATGTCTCCAAGTGTTTTAAGCTAACAACTCCCATTCTGTTCTGGGTAATGTAAAGACGGGCTGCACTTGCATGGTTTTCCTGTTTCGTGGCTCCAACTGGTACACCCAGGGTATGCAGTTTATTCAGCAAAAAATTATTTTCCACAAAATTGTAAGCCTCACAGCATTTAGTTTCTCGTATGGCATTGATGATGTCTTTCTTGTCCACAGAGGGCCCATTCCTGATAGTTGCACTGTCAGCCAGAATGTATGCTCTCTCAATGCCTTTCCCACCAGCATGCCCTGGGACAAAAATGAAGGTGATTTTGCAAAAGGCTGCATGCTGTATCAGATGGAGCCACTGTTTCCGTATGTACCCCACCCTGATCATCTGTAGTATGCTCACTGAGTCGTAAGGAAACGTATAATGGTGAACTCGTGAGTAATCAGGCATTCCAGGGCCTTTGTCACAGCTGTGACCTCCACTGTCATGCTGCTGGTGGTAGAAGCAAAGGCTCCACTATCCTCTTTTGTTGAAGAGGGAATCTGAGCACCTGTGGATGTGTCCAGAGTAGTGACTGTGAAGATAATCCAACTCATAATTCAACTCATAACTTATCTTTTTTAATGACTTTTCCTTGGGTTTTTGCTGTGAAAGCCCACACACTTCGCTTCCGTTGGATCACAGAACCATCTGTATAAATAACAGCATCTTCCTGTGATGTGTGTTCCTCCATCAATTCTTCACTTCTGCATCAACTACTGGTGGCGCCAAATCATGGCACTGTCCTGTCAGGTTGACAACCACCACAAAGTACTGCTTTTATTAGATGTTAGACAATATGCAGTAAAACAGTTAATTTTTCCCTCTAAAAGCTGACCAAGGGGCTGAAACACTCGGCTCTCATTCAGAACACTCAGCTTGCAACCTTCAGTAAGATGACGGCTATTTTTCTGTCAGAGGCATGCCGAAAAATATCCTAAACGGCATAGTTTGGCAAGTGCACTAGCAATGCAGCCATAAATCCTGTGATTCAAAATGTCTCCTGTCCAACCCCAGCAGAAAAATGGGTGAATGCAGGCAGTAAAGACTTTGGGGCAGCAGTTTCTATTTTTTCTTTTTACTATCCAATATAGCATTTTTACCAACATTATGTTACCAATGACGAAAGTGGACATTAACAACAAAAGGTAAAAGTGAAATGAAAACATCAAAAATGTCTATGATTCATTGTAGATGTAACTACAAGACAGGCTAAGAAATGACAATATCAGGAAACAAGTTGTGATGGAACCAGTACTAAACCACATCAAAACAACAGATCAAATGGTTCGGACATGTGTCAAGACCACCTCCATGCAGTGCACCACAGAGAGCCCTATAACACAGACATAACAGAAGTGGGTCTAGAGGTCAACCATGCAAGCAATAGATAGATGAAATATTCAAGACTGTTAATACCAGCATCTAGGTAGCATATATAAAGACTCACAAATCCCTCTTCAAATCCTGATGCTGAAGGGCTACACAGGACTGGAGAAGAAGAAGAAAAAGTTTTTTTTTTATTTTTTTATTTGAATGCAGACATTCCTTATTACAGTTGTGAATAGTGTGTTGTATTGTTTGCATGTCACTCAATGTATGTGTTGTTGCATTTAAACATGTTTCTAAATATACATACCATAGCAACAGTTGCCTTGAAATCCTTTAAGCTTTCCTTTGCTACCCACTGCCTCCCAAGACATGCAGCGTATCCACCAGGAGCTGCAATGTAATCATCCCAACTACAGGATGACTTGTCTGGTGGCAGCAGGGAATGGCGTCTCCCAAACTGAAGAAGTGAAGCAAAATTTATGATTACTACCATTAATAACTGTTGGACTGCAATTCTTATGTTAAAAGTGATTACAGCTAAACGCTCTTCACTTTCTTGGCTCACTCTAGACAACCAGCTACACGTTCATTGCTTACTTCATACATCACAGAAACGACGGACACTGGTAGAGTCCTAAGGATATCGTCTATGGTGAACGATGACTACATGCAACTGGCAAAATTCTTCAGCAAGTTAATAGATACAAATATCTTGGAACAGTCACAGCATCTAATGCAAGATGCCTTGCAAAAATTGGAACAAGAATCGCCAAGGCAAAAGTGGTCTTCAACTAGATGCAAAAGATACTCATCAATAAAATATCAACCACAATGTGAAAAATAGTGTTACAGTGCTGTTATATGCATGTGAGACATTGAAACAAATCAGATAATATGAAAAACATTTACTCACAGCAGAGATGTGGTTTTTTAGAAGAATATAAAAAAAGAAAAAATAATGGAATGATTGAAAAAACAAATAAGGCAGTCCTCCTCAACCATATAAAAGTCATAAACGATAAGAACAATTAGACATAAAGAGTACGTATTTTTTGACATATTATGAGAAGGAATGAACTTGAAAACTTGGTAACAACTGGATTCACTGGCTACATGGATGGGGTTGGACAAGAACACTAACCTGATCCATGATTCTAATAACTGTGTGAGATGGTGAAACATGACAGCCTTTGCTTGCTGGCATGGCACATAATGCTGATGTTTAGGTCAACCTCTACTACGATATACAGATATGTGCAGGCAGGACATGAATGATACAGATACTGAATGTGATTTGCGGGAAAAAGATGCTAATGACTGTGTTGCATGGAGAAGAAAAATCAGGGAATAGGGATAAATGAGAAAATGTCCGTAGGCAGGTTAAGATGTATCAGTACTTTAGTAGCTTCTACATCCATCCCATTTGGATGAATCCAATATTGTTTCGTTTGCTAGAATGAATATGAATGAACAAATTTTGAAAAACTAGAAGTAGCGAAAAGAAAGCATTATTGTTTGTCAAGCCTGGTGAGCCGATAGGTTTAATTTTCATTTGGTATTTAATTAATTTAGTGTGATACCATTTTTATGTGATTTTCTAGACCAAATGATCAAGGAAATGGTCTAGAATGTCCATACTGCTGCTGTTGTTGATGAATCTGAGCCATGTAGTAACAATAATCTTGATATTATGACTAACAGTGCAAGTGCCAAAACTATTATCAAAAATATACATTTTGATAAGGTTGAAAGAAAAATTTCAGTCGGATTGTCCCTGTTTCGATCAGCTGTGTCTGGAATTTGGACTGTATGAAATCTAACATGTCACACAAAAATGGTCATAAAATCCAAAGTATTTAGATTAACTGTTTCAAATAAAGACTAGTTGGTGCGTAACTGAATAGAGAAGGCGTGTGAATTCTTAGAAATGGATTTTAGTGTAGCTGATCAAGTTTTTAAACAAAATAAAAAAGTAAAAAACAAGTAAGGTAGGTACACAATTTCAACAACAAAAATCTTCATGTGTGTTTAACATTTTTTTAATTTTAATATTTTGTTCTTGTAATACTGTTCTTGTAATAGCAGATACAGCCATGAAATTGCAACAACATCTAACATCCATGAATGAAGAATGTAAAACAAATAATATGAGAATCAACACTGAAAAGACAGAAGTAATGTCAATAGGAAAAAAGAAGACAGATCTAAACATAGCAATAATTGGATAAAGAAATTGACATTAGATGCAGTAAAGCAAACCAAGTATTGGGACAGCTAGTCCCCCTCTTACAGCATAAGACAATCCCAATCAGCACAAAGAGACATCTTATTCAAAGCATATGTATTCCAACTCTGTGCTACCAGTGCCAGATATGGTTACTCACAACAAACCATAAAAGAAAATTAGTAACCACGGAAATGAGATGTCTGAGAAGGGCTGTAGGAGTGACCATAAGAGATAAGATCAGGAATGAGATCATAAGAGAACAAGTCGGCACAGAACCAGTTCTGGATTGCATACAAAGACAGCAAGTGAAATGGTATGCCCACTTAGAGAGAATGCCTTGTGACACCATACCATACAAAGCATACATGGAAAGAGAAGAAGGACGTAGAGCACGGGGTAGACCAAGAACAAGAAGGAAGGATAACATCAGAGAAACTCTACAACAGCACGATGTGCCTATGGTCGAGGCAGCCAGAAGAGCTAGAAACAGAACCTTATATCTCCCTCGACACCCACAGCCGTAAAAGAGGAAGTGAAGAAGAAGAAGAAGAATATTGACACTTGAATAGTTTTGATGTATTCTGTATTTATGTCTCTTTAATTTCATATATTATATGTCACTTTACAGCCAATATTTTTTCTTCAGGAAGGTTTTAGCTTTGTCATGTTGCAGTTGAAGTAAAAAAAAAATTCAGCTCAAAATGAATGCTATCCAAACCTCAGAAAAAATGTTGTCCTGAAAGTGTTCAGAGCTGAGCATCTGAGAATCTTCTTTTTCTTCAGCATTCCAAGCCCTTGAGGTTCATTGCTGCAGATATCAACCACCACCATTCATCTCTCTGTGTGGCCTTCTCTTTCCAGTTGTTGACACCAAGTGTTTGCAGGTCTGTCTGGACATTATCTCTCCATTGTCTTGTTGGTCTGCCTCGTGGTCTACGACCATTCATCTCCCTTGTGTATACAGTTTTTACTTCTCTGCATCTGACATTCTTTCAATATGAAATCTTGTAGATTCTCTTACAGTACATTCCTGTTTCAATGTCATTATAATTTTCTCCAGGGCTAAGTTGAAAAGAAGTGGTGACAGAACATCCCCTTGCTTTAAAACAGATGTTTGTTGAAAGGGGTCTGACTTTCTGCCTTTATATATTACTATATTGCAAGTGTCTTCCATATATAGTTTGGTCATGGTAATTAACTTCTTTGTTATTCCAAAGTCTCTCATAGCATTCCATAAACTGTTTCTATGCACACTATCATACGCCTTTTTAAAATCCACAAAAACATTATGTACATCTCTTCTATATTCCTAGTTCTGCTCTGCTGTTTGCCGTAAAATGAGCACCTGAGAATAAACAAGTTAACTACATGTGATCGCGAGAATGGTCCGGAAATTCCTTGCTCTAATCTTGTGGGTCTTACTAATCACATCCGTATTCACCACAGGTGGTGATTCTCATACCTCCCTACAGCATAACAGAACACTATCATCTTGAAAGACGGAAACATCATTTAATTTTCTGAAGGAAACAAATGTTTGGATTGGGTTGTTTAGACTGTTTAGTGCTGGTGCAGCACTGTGAGCTGTGTTTTTTCATGTGGAGTGCCTTGCATTTGTGCAGCGGTTGAGTTATGGTATTCAATATAGCCGGTAGCTGGTTGTTGTGTGGGTTCCACATTTTGAATGGGACCTTATGTGATAATTTTATGTGTGTATAGCCAATTTATTGTGACCGTCTACTTCCATCAACAAGAAACCGCATTTCTGGTGGCGACTGCTGACTCTGGCACCTCTAGCAGCTGCCATATTCATTTACTCCATGTTTGTTCACCAGTTTTTTAAATAGGACAGTGAGGGACATTTAATTTAATCTTAACTGGGACAGGAACTGAGCAAGCAAGGGGTAACCTGATTGCAGTAAAGTTGAAACCTTGACTAAGTTTGGATAAAAGTTGCCCACATGTTACAACTGTAGTTAAGAGAATTAAAGAACAGATACATTGCAACCTTCGATACATGCCATTAAATGTGACTAGGGGAAACTGGTATGAGACTTGCTACATCACCTGGCAGATGAAGAAGCGTATGCTAACTGCTTGAAGAAAGAAATAAAGAAATGTAAAATTATGTTTACTGGTGAGATAAATTAAGAAAAGATGCAGAAATATCTGTTCATAATTCAATATACAGCTGAGGAGGGAAAAGAAGGGGCTGGAGGGGGTGTTACAGAAAATATATGTTCAGAACAACCCATAATGGAGGGGGAGGGGGAGAAGGTGTTACAGAAAATATATGTTCATAACTCAACCCATAACAGAGGGGGAGAGGGGGGGGGGGTGTTACAGAAAATATATGTTCATAACTCAACCCATAACGGAGGGGGAGGAAAAGCTTACATCATCTGATGAATCTTCTGTACAATCCCAGGCACCCTTGCTGATGCTCTCCACAATGGCTTTATTCTTCTGAATATCTTCTGCAGTTAAATGTTCACGTCTGGAAACGAGAACAAATTATCTGATTACAGTACCCTGAATAATTTGCACATAAACGAAGCAAGAAGAATTCAATTTTACATCATAACAATAAACAATAAATGAACAGGTACCGAACATGTATACAACACATCTAACATTAGAGAGGGCTATGTATCATCAATTAGACTAAATTCTCTCTGTGTGGGTCCAAGGGCCCCACTGTGAGGGAAGAACAAAATTAGATGCTGTGCCCCCAAATAAGCTTGTCCGAAGAGTAAACTAATTAGAGGTGTTTCCTTCAAAATCAGTGCATCTACTTGAGAAGTGAGGAACCGACAGTCTACAAACAAACAAAAGCCAGATCTGTAAAACAGATCTACACACAAAACTCAGGTTCTGGTATAAGACTAAAGTCCACAAGTGGATGAACAACCAGAAAATTCCACTAGAGTTTACAGCCGGGGAGCACGACCAAGAAGGAAAAAAAAATAGAAGAAAACAAAATTCTATAATTAGAAAAGTCTATTTACCACCAGCCAGGCCAACAAGTACATATATCTTTACATCAGCAACTAGGCAAGCTTGTATTATTCAACTTCCAGTGTGCAATCTATGAAAGGTGAGGAGGGGGGGGGGGAGGGGGTATATTAGACCTACTGCCACTTAACAATTAGGCTGTAGGAGGCAACTAATTAAGACTTTGCTGAAATCGAATGTGTTGGGCAGAAAGGTGCAGATATCACAGCTTAGCTGTTAACCACAATAGAGTGTGTCAACTACCATTATAAGGGTGATTGTAGACAAAGAAGAAGAAATATCAGTAAACAGACAGATTCTTACATCATTAACAGGTCACATCTGTACGTCAGCAACAAGAACGGACCGTTTCAAGTATATTAACTTACCCTTCATCAAGCTAGTAGATCATGAACTAGACAATACTCTCTGGATTCATCTCAGTAAAACATTTCTTACTCACTACTGAACACTGGCACCAAATCATACATCTAACCTGTATACCAACATTTAGTCTAACAAAATATCCTCTCTCCTGATTTCTGCATGTTGACATTCCAACATTTCAAAATCTATTTCAAACTGACACTAATCCACATCATGTGCTTTTTGAAAGGGCAGAATGTAAGACAGGCCTGCATGCCCAATTTGTGACCCTTTGAAAATAAAGTTCATTCATTAGTGGGCGATCATGCCTATCCATAATCTGCTATCTTCAACAGTATGTATCAGTTCATGTGCTGACACCCCTTCCTGCCATGACTAAAGGCTTTTAAGAATCTCCTAAGTTGTCATCTTTTGTCTCTTTTTCAGCAGATCTAGCCAGTGGTCACAACATGTTCCAGTTTTCTTATTCCCATAATATGATCAAAAATGATGACTGTCTCTTTCTGATGTGTGTGATACATTTTCTTCCACCCCTCACCTCTTTCAAAACATCTACATTGCTCTTTTTGCCGGGAATTCAAAGAATTTTTCTATAAAATCCTATTTCCGAGGCTTCACAAAAATGTTTGGCTCATTTATTAATTGCCCAAACTGACACTACAAAACATTAAACCTGCATATATTTGTGACCATTATTCTGAGATCTCAACACAGCCCCACAAATCATTCTCAGATTTCTTACACAATCCTATTTTATGCTGTCAGCACTGGTTTTTTTTAAATCTATTTTATTTAAGATTGTTGTGTGCAATATATTGGTATATGAAAGGGAAGTTCATTATTGAACGTAAATCTTGGTGCAGTGCAGCACACATTGAACGGAATGTGAAAAGAGAGAAAAACGGTTAGCTCCAAGTCCCCGGAGAGGAAGGATGCGGTGATGTAGGTTCTAGTCTGGGTGTTGCCAGACTAGTCCTGCACACCCACATGTTACGCTGGCGTTAGGCGTCCAGGCTATCGGCGAGAGATGCCGCAGTGGCCGGGCCAGTGTGACAGAAGCTCGTGTGGTGAGATGGGAGATCTCAAGTACGTGTCAGGCCGCAGACGGAAGGTCTGGATAATCTTCACAAGGTATTGTGCATCGGCCTGTATGATTTTTCTAGTGACAGTGTACCCAAGGGATGGGTGTCATAGAGATAGACACGTAATCACGAGTTATGGGTTGCACGAGCAGGTAATGTTTGCTCGTAGTTAACTACTGAACAGAGTGGCAGTAGAAGTCGTCCAGAGCGTCCTGAGTGTGGTGTGTCGCCTTGATAGTGAGAATGACTGTGGCAATATAGAAATTCATGTGGATTCATTGTCTTGGTGTTGAAATACATTAATTATGTTTTGACGTTCAACATGTATCCGGCGTCCTTTATTGCTGTTGGGCGGGAGTGGTGACTTGTAACTGTAACACTATGGAGCATACCTAGATACTTGGCAAGTGTGCGGTGTTTCAAGCGAACATTTCGCACACGGCAAAGATGATAAACATTCAAGTCTGATTAATATTTAAAAACGGGAGGGGAAGAAAAAGCTGAGAGACCCAGATTTTGTATTGATATTATTGTCTCTGAGCTGATCAATGTTAACAAATAAAATCTGGTAAAAACAAAGTTTTTCTTCTTTTTTTTTGTCTTTACACTTAAAAGCACCTCTTGCCGTTTGTATCTCTGTCAGTTCCTCCATCTTCATCTACATACAAACAGGTGTATGACTCCACATCTTGGAGTGGGATACCATTAAGAGAATCACAGGGAATAAGTAAGTAAAATATAGACCCTTTTTCCACCTTTGGCACATCGAGCATACAGGACTAGACATTAATGTTTACAGACTAGCTCTTAATGGGTAATGTGGTAAACATCACGCCAGCCACCTTTGCTTCCAAGGACATTGTCTGGCACCCAGTTTAGATTTTGTCAACCTGGAAGCCAAGACCATTTCAAAAACAATCAGCCTCAAAAGGTATTTGAACTGTAGACTGTAGACTTTCAGGCCTACATGCAAGTAAAGTAAAAAAAAAAAGTAAAGAACCCTTTTCCACGCCTTTAGGCGTATAGGGCAGATAGGGCTAGACCTTTATTTTTATAGACCAATCGGCACAGGATGGGTGATGTGGTCAGCATCACGCCGGCCGCCTTTACTTTCCCGGGACTGCACCTGGTACCCACTCAAGGCTGGGTCAACCTGGGTGCCAAGGTCATTTTTTTTTAAAAGTCCGGCTCCGCCAGGGAGCGAACCCACGACCTTCCGATCCGCGGCGAGCGTCTAGCCGCTCGGCCACGGCGACTCCCACATGCAAGTAAAACTAGGTATTAATTAGCTACACTAACCTTTGATACTACTGAAAGTCTTCACTGTCCCTAAAACATTGCAGTTTCAGTATTTACTCAGTACACAATATAATATTCTGAATCATCAAAAGAGAGCCAGCATATCAGTAAATATACTCTACAAAACATGGAATTTACACCTTTGAAAAAAAGAAAAGAATGAAATGTCATATTTAAAGTGTGAATGTGACAATTTAATGATAAAAGTGCTAGAAAAAAAATATCTTCAACATGCTAAGGAAAATATACAAAGAAGCAGCAGATATTCAAAGCCTCAAACATTCTAGAAAAGGAAATGTAAAAACCAAATAAACTGAGATGGACAAATGATGAAGAAAATGAAATATGTCCTAAACTCAAATTCTGTAAAAAGGCTTTAACCACATATATAAATTTTCTGTACAAAGAATTTCCTTATACATTTCAGATTATTTCAAGTTAAGTGCCCCTGACAGTTATTATTCTATCCTAAAATAGCAAAGAATTCAACATTCTATTTTTTTTTTAAACTGTATTTACTGCCTGTTAGTATTACTTCTTAGAGCAGTGAAGGACAGGGGTCTCGGGCCAGTTTATTTTTGACTTCTGTTTGGATGTTTGCCAATTACAGAAAAACATTTTCATCATTTTACAGAGTATGTGAAAACCCAGTATTTTATCAATTCCTCAATACTCCATAATGTGTGAAAATGTAAAATATGCTTGCTTGAATACACCATAGTTTAACGTCATCAATTTCAACAAGCATTCTAACAGAAATTGACTGCAAAATCCAGCCAACTATGAAAGAGTTTAAAAGGGACTTCACTGGAGTTAGAAGAGGGTTTATGCTCCACTGGAAGTTGAAAGGCAGAAAGAAAAAAAGAAGTGATCAGATGAGACTACAAGAAATTGTGACCCTTACTTTAACACTGAGCACACACCTTTTCTTTGACTCCAGAACAAGATTATCAACACTGTAGAAATCAGATCTAAAGTCACCAACCATCTCCTGATGACAACATAAACAAAACAAATTATTCAAAACTTTAAAGAAGATACAACATTCTTCTTCTCTTTTTTTTCTTTCTTGTTTTGACCCTGTTTTTGTCTTACAGCATCAGGTTTAAAAGAGGCATCTTTGTTAGCCTTAGTGTGTGCTACGTGGATGCTAGTATTCACTGCCCAGGATATTCATTCCATATATCCATCACTTGCATGGGTGACCTCTAGCTCTGCTTCAACTGTGTCTTAGAGGTTTGAGGTTTAAGTGGATCAACATCATAGCACCTAATATCTCCGTTCTTCTTCTAACTCAAGTCTGTGTTCCAAGAAGCTCAGCACAGTGCACAGGCTCTGTAGCACCAGCAAGGATCCTGAAATACTTTGGGTAGATTTTAAACTCTAAAATTGTGCCCGAGCAGCGCCATTAGGCTAATCTTTTCAATTTCCAACTGCAAAGGGATTTTTTTACGTGCGCAACAATGCACACAGGCATTCGATCTCACTATCTAGAGACCAGGGTGAATTACTAAAGTCCACGTCAACAATTCCCAGCCCTTACCAGGGATTAAACCCGGAACCTCTAGCACTCGAGTCAGACACCATGCCTCAAGACCACGCAGCCGCCCCAACTGTGTCTTAGTAACACGGCTCCCAGTGGTGCACTATCTTCTGGTAGTCCGGAACTATAAGGACCATTTGATAGGCTGCTTCTTGAAGTTTAGCACTGGTTCCATCCCAACCTGCTTCCTGATATTCTCATCCTGTCTCTTCCTGTTACATTTTTGATTCACTGTTGATATTTCATTTCTGTTGTTTCAATTTTTCTGTTCCCTTCATGCCCCTGTTTGGCACAGGTAACACAATGTTGGTAACAATACAGTACTGAATTGTGTTTTTTGGGTATCAATTGTTATCTGTTTGTTGTGCAATTTTGGTGATATTTGTCGAATGATTTACTGAATATAAAATATTACCATGTGAATGCCCCAGCAATGGTAGGGCTGAATTTGTGTTTCTTTTCAATTGAAAGTTTGGGTTTAACATTATATCCACAATATGACCTAATGCAAGTATATATATATATACATATGGGTTTGCTTTAGTTGAACTAAGTCAATGAAACTGAAATGTGTCCATGAGAATGAGTTACATACATATTTACTGCTTTAGACAATCGTGCAGAAGCACGCCTTTTTTTCATGTATCTAAGTGCAGGGTAGATAGACACTCTATAAATAACCAATATGATACAATCATCAAGTGAAGAAAAGAACAGGACAGACTAAAACTGCTTTTCATAAAATGAAGAACATTTTGTGCAATAAATCCATGTCACTGGATGTTAGGAAAAGAATTCTTGCAAGCTAAATAGAGCCAGTTTTCACACATGGCTATGAATCCTGGACAATTAATAAACATGCCAGACAATATCTTGAGGCCTCAGAGATGTGGTTTTACAGAAGAATCATTAGAATTCCTTGGACAGCTAAGAAGAGTGACTCAGATGTTTTGAAACATGCAGGTGTTTCAAAGACAACTTATCAATATAAAAAACATCAGAAAGAGAAAGTCATCATTTTTTGGGGTCATGTTATGAGAAGAAGGAAAATCAAACATGTTTTGACCACCGGAAAGATCTGTGGAAAGAGCAATAGAGGAAGACAGCGCAAGAAGAATCTTGACAGCCTTCTATCATGACATGGAGGGGTGTCAACACTCGAACTGATAAATGCAGTTGCATGAAGATTGTGGAGAGGCATGATCGCTCACGCAAATCGGCAAGGCACTTGATGATGATGATGATGATATACTCAAAAGTTTAATAAACTAATTGAGCCCTAGATCCAGATATTTTAGTCAAGAGCAATTTTTCAATACATATTTAAGCCAACTTCAAGGGGAAAATCTTCTGTTTTCTTGTTCTTAATGTTCACCGGCTTTAAACTATAGCATAAAGTTCTGGTTGTTCATGCACTTCTGGACCCTGGTCTTGTTTCAGAACTTGAGTTTTGTGTGCATATCTATTTTACATATCTGGCTATTCGTAAGCAGACTGTTGGTTTCTTGTCTTTCAGGCAGATGCCCTCTTACTTTGAAATAAATGTAAAATAGACTTTGAAGGAAATAATGGGAAATAACATGTAATACTAACAAAAGAAGGCCTAAAATATCAGACACTCGTAATAGAGTGATGGGACAGCTGCAAAATAAAGATGTCTGTACCTAGAAGAAAAATAAAAATGGAACTTTTAACCAGATTTTCTCAGTAGTAACTTTTACAATGAATGAGTTCAGAAGATTAAATATACTCCATCATCATCATGTTGTGTCAATTATACATTGCATTCATCCATTATGTTCTTCTGTGCAATCTTTGCAATATCATGGATGGAATTTGATCCAGCACCTTTAGCTTGTTTCATAATAAACTTCTTCTTTATCTTCCTAGCATCCACCATCTGTAAACTCCATCTGGAAGTTCTTGTTTTTCGACCACTTCTGGACTTTGGTCTTGCTCCAGAACTTGAATTCTGTGTGCACATCCATTTGACAGATCTGCTTATATGTATGCAGAATGGCGATTCCTCACTTCTTAGGCAGATGTGTTATGGCTCTGGGGAAAACGCATCCCCAATTGGTCGCCTTTTACGACATGCGAAGCTGTGCGTCTATTGTTTTCCTCTCCTACCTTAAATGAAGCCTTGGAACCCACAGGGGGGAATCATGATAATATGGTTCCCAGGAAATGTTCTGAAAGGTGAAGTTGGCGAGCATGATGATGGCACCATATATCCAACCCATATTCAAAGCCTGGTAATAGAATCTTTAGTTTTAAAATGCTTACTAATACAGTGTGAATAAAAAATAGGACATATCCTCAGCATTACGCCAGTCAATTTTGGCAATTTTGGTCTTTGCATTTGTAGGGCTGTTATCTGTCACTTTATAATATGCCAAGGAGGACTAGCTAGTAAACATAATCTAGTCTTGGATACTAAAATATTCTGGCCATATCAAGCCCTATGCCAGAATAGAAACAAAAAATTCCTGAAGGCATGGTACCAGAAAAGAGTGGCGAATCAACTTGCAGAAAGATGAGCACAGGATACAAGTGACACCTTGGCTTGAAAAGTGCGTGAGGCATAGTTTTTTTTTAGGCAGACTGTGACGAGAACAAAGTTCTGCAAAGGAACTGCTACATGATAATGATAATGATATGCTAAAGGCAAACATGGTAATTCTTACTCTAAATAGGTAAAAATGAATTATTACTTTTCACTCAACTACATGCAGCTAGGGCCGCCGTGGCTTAGGCATTGCGAGTCCGACTCACAATTCCAAAGTACCACGATTGAAACCCACTGCTGGTTGCGTGGATTTTTATCATGGCATGGGGTGTCGCAGGTCGACCCAGCCTAAAATTGGGTACCAGGATGTATGTCCTGGGGAAGTAAAGACAGCCGGTGTAATGCTGACCACATTACCCACCTAGTGCTGATTGGTTTGTAACAAAAATGGCTGCTCTTTCCATATGCCCTATGTGCCTAAAGGCGTGAAAAGGGATCTTTACTTTACTTACACACAGCTGCCATGGTGTAACAGCTAGAAGCTCATCTGCAGATTAGGATGTCGTGGGTTCAGATCTTGGTGGTACTATATTTTTTTTTTTAAATAATTAATTTGGCTGCCAGGTCTATCCAGCCTTAAATGGGTACCAGGCAAAGTCCTAGGAAGTCAATGTGGCTTGGCATGATGTGGACCACATTACCTACCAAGTGTCATTGGCCTATAAAAGATAGGTCTAGCCCTATATGCCCAATACACCTGAAGGTGTATAAAGGGGTCCTTTACTTTATTTTACTCAACTACACAATTTTTAGATTTTAATGTTCAAACCTGATTTTCTCCAAACAAGGATTCAACACTTAGAGACTTTGGTGAAGTACTAATGATTTGTTTAGGTAAATAAGGTTAAATGAAACAACATTAACTTGTGAGTGCATTTATTAAGACAACTGGTGAAGGCGTGTATGTGTGTGCATGCACGCATGTGTGTAAGTAATATTTCTGCGGGATCTTACAGATTTGTCTTCCCTGAAGAGCCAGCCACTTCTCGCCCTGGAGAATGAGATATCTTTTGTAGACAGCTGGGCTGCGATGAGGTCGCTGCTCATGAGAATGTCTACTTCGTCTTCCAACTCCTGCTCAAAGTCCTAAATTTGAATATTTGAAAAGGAAAACTCAACTGACTTTAAAAAAAAAATACTGTAAATATACAACAGTGAACTCTTATTTTTCTTCTTCTTCTGTGTTTGTCATTAAAAGGGCGGTTGGCCTGCTGTGTTGTAGTTTACAGCTAGGCTGCAACATCTGTGCCTTTTGGCCCAACACATCCTATTTAAGGCAGTTGTTTATTTTTTTACAGGACACTGCAGAGCAAACCCCAGGATTTTAAGCTGTTGTGGTTTTTCTAGGCAAATTTACGTTCAGTAGTTTGCCATTGCTAGTAGTTTGCCATCGCTTCCTGAACAGCTGACTCTTGATACCACTGTTGAAATCCACAGTCTGCTGCCAAATCGCCTGCAACTGGGATGGAACTCAGCATTATGAAGCATGTTCACAACACCTTAGTCAAAGATGTTGACTCATTGAAGTTAATCCTTAATTAGCTGCCTTTTATAACATGCTTGTTAGAGGGAAAGTGTGTCTATTCTTTTTTTTCCCTTCTGCCTAAAATGGAGCCTCAGGACCCACATGCAGAAATGAACCATGTGGTACAGTGGCTAGTCTCTGTGTGGGTACAGTGGCTAGTCTCTGTGTGGGTACAGTGGCTAGTCTCTGTGTGGGTTCTTAATTTTTGTCTTTATTGAGCAGCTTATCTTAATTTAATATACTTTAGTCTATAACTATTTACCCAGGAGGAGAAATGGCAGCAATATTTATTACATTCACCATAACATATTTATAGCATTCTCCATAAAATATTTATAACATTCACCATAACATATTTATAACATTCACCATAACATATTTATAACATTCTCCATAACATATTTATAACATTCTCCAATGAGTTCCAGTGCCCCATTTGGGGGGTGGGGGAACTACTGCCTCCCTAACAAGCATGTAGTAAAAGCTGACATATTAGGATGGTTTGCTTTGAAGTTGCCTAAGGGGCAAGGAACCAACAGTCTGCATTCAAATAAGCCAGATCTGTAAAATGAGTGCATGCAAAACTCAAGTTCTGAACAAGAGTAAAGTTCAGAAAAGGACAAACAATCAGATTTCTGCCGGAGTTTACAGCTAGTGAGCACAAAGAAGAATACAGATCATTTTTCTCTAGATCAGTCCATAATTTATAACATTCTCTATAACATATTTATAACATTCTCCAATGAGTTCCAGTGCTACATTTGGGGGGTGGGGAAACTACTGCCTCCCTAACAAGCATGTAGTAAAAGCTGACATATTAGAATGGTTTGCTTTGAAGTTGCCTGAGGGGCAAGGAACCAACAGTCTGCATAACAGCAAGTGAAATGGTTTGCCCACTTAGAGAGAATGCCTTGTGACACCATACCATACAAAGCATACATGGAAAGAGAAGAAGGTCGTAGAGAAATAGGTAGACCAAGAACAAGATGGAAGGATAACATCAGAGAAGTTCTACAACAGCCCGATGTGCCTATGGTCGAGGCGGCCAGAAGAGCCAGAAACAGAACCTTATATCTCCTAGGACACCCACAGCGGTAAAAGAGGAAGTGAAGAAGAAGAAGAAGAAGAAGTCCATAATTTTGTGTGTGTGTGTGTGTTTATCTGAGTGATATACAATAAATCAACTGAAATCAAGAGAAACAATTTATCAAAGCTGATCCTGAGGGACAAAAAAAACAAAACAGTGTATCAAAACAGTAGGGTGGACATTAAATCTAAAGCTTCTTGGACTGAGAAAATCTCACCTTGAGAAAAATTAAACTGGTCTATACCTAACTCCAGGAGATATATCTGATCATTACATTTTAGTCTTATCTCCAGTTATCCCTAGGTGGGTTCCAAGCCCAATTTTAAGAGGAAAACAGAACAGACCTACTACTACTTTTCAAGCGTGTTATAAAAAGTGACTAATTAACTCTTTGAGTCCCAAGGAACGCATCATACGTTCATATGTTCATACCTAGAAGCCCAATGAACGCATGATACGCCGATTTTATTACTTTCTTTACTGCCTCCCTGGGCCTGTGATGTTAAGCCACCTGGGACTCAAATAGTTAAGGGTTTGTTGAAATCGGATGGTTAGGCTGAAAGGCACAGATATCGCAGCCTAGCTGTAAACCATAACACTATGTGCCAACTGCTCTTTTAATGGTGAAAGCAGAAGAACAAGAAAAACAGTCTCCAATTTAACAAAAACAAAACAAAAATTTGTGTTCACTCTGATAAGTGTTAGTAAAATTTAATTACCAAACTATTTCAATAACTCCACAAACTGATTCATTTTATTAATAAAACTGCAATATAAATGCACTTCTGAACCAACTTTGTGCTATTAATGCCAAAAAGCAAACAAAAAATAATTACATGTGAAATGAGATGTATAAGAAATGTGCCTGGCAAAATAGGAGGCAGAGTCAACAGTGAAAAACTAAGAACAATGACAGGCACAGTACCCGTTAATGATTTCACGGAACATCAAAGAATAACATGGTTTAGTCACCAGGTCCGAATGAAACAAAAAGAGCCAGCAGCTAGCTGAGACCAGACCTTGTCAACAGCAGTTCAACAAATACCAACATGCAAAGGCCAAATTTCAGAGCCAAGCTGCAGGCTAGACGGAGGAGCTTGCCCAAAAAAAAAAAAAAAAACTTTGAAAGAGACACAAGGAAGTTCTGGAGGCTAGTAAAACAAATTAATTATGAGAATACAGGGAGAAATGCGAATATTGCACTAGGCAAAGAAGGAGCCATCCTAAAAAGAAAACAGGCAGCTGATCACTTTGCAGATTCTTTTGCCGAAGACAACGACATTGATATCAGCCTAGAGAAACAGGGAGAGGTTTGACAGAATCAGAAACAAACAAGACAAAATGATATAAATCTTGTGGCACTAGTGGCAGCACTTACTTCTAGCGAGCTAAAGTTAGCAATATCAAAGCTAAGAATAGGAAGTCACCTTGAATAGATGGAATAACCAACGAAATGTTCAAGAACCTTGGAACAACAGCAAAAATAAAGCTGCAACAGATCTTTAAACATTGTTGGACCAGTGGCAAAATTCCTCAGATATTGAGAGAAGCAATCATGATACCTCTCCTTAAACTAGGAAAGGACAGTTCTGATTCTCCAGCTATAAACCAATCAGCCTTACCATCTGCCTCTGTAAAACAGTGAATGTCAACCTTAGACTGGACTTACTTGGAAAGTAAGGCAGGCTTTAGACAGTGCTAGTCTACAGAAGATCAAACAATTTACCTTTCGCAAGAAATTGATGATGCCTTCCAGGAAAAAAAGCTGACAAGGTCTGGAAAGAAGGTCTCATGAAGAAACTGAGAAACTACACAGTGAATGGGAATATGTACAAATTGAAAGCATACTTGTATAACAGAAGAGCCTGAGTACAGATAGACGGACTCAAGAGTAAGAAAGTTTTGTTTCGCCATGGTGTTCTCCAAGAAGGTGCCCTGTACCCCACACTCTTTCTTGTCTATATCAATGACCTAGTTTCTGAACTATCCCATGCAATTGAAGCTGCAATGTATGCTGATGACTTGGTACTAAGATGTACAAATGAATATGCAATAGTGGCCACTAGACTGCTACAAAGAGCCAAAGATGCAATGGCTGCATGAGCTGATAAATGGTTTGTCAGCATTAACACTGGCAAATGTAGCACCACCCTATTCACTCTCTCTCCAAAACAAGAATCAGGCATCACCCACATAAATGGAGAACGTCTGAGAGAGGATAAGCAGCCCACATACCTCAGAGTCAGGTCTGACGGTAGGTTAACATGTAGAAAACATATCTACTGGCAGCAACAAAAGCTAGAAGGAAGGTAGCCACCTGAGAAAACTAAGTGGAACCACATGGGGTGCTAGTGGGAAAATACTTAGGAAAGTTTACCAAACATAAGTTCAACCACACTTTGTTGGATCAACAGCAGGAAGCTCGGCATCAAAAACCACACCACAAGAATTAGACAAAGTGCAAAATCAAGCACTTAGAGTTACCACAGACAGTGTGAAATCAACACAATAGCTGTGAAAGAGAAAATAAGGATGACCCAAGCATTCAGTGAATGCAGAGACACCAAGACCAATACGAGCAAAAAGATTTCTTAGCATGCCTAGTCACCCTATAAATCAAAGATTCCAAAATCTAGCTGTGGGGCGACTAAAGAGAAGCAGTTTCATCCACCAGGCCAGACGGTTCTGCAGACAAACAACTGATCTGCCTGCAACTGATAATCCCTAGGAGTATTTGAAAAGGAAGATCAAAACAGTGTGCAGCATAAAACAGTCACCCTGAGTCTACCTGATGATGAATACCCACAGAATCTTGTGTGGGAGTGTACATTGAGCATCCTAATAATACCAGGGATACAGCCAAAATACCAACAGGAAAGCACTGTCACAACTACGATGCAGAAGTTCAAGCCATCAAGACAGCAGCAGAGAAACTACTAAATATCAGGTATATTTCACAACCAGGAGTATTCCTGACAGATGCAAAAGCGGTAATTCAGGCACTCCAGTCAGGAAAATTACCAGGTACAGGGACACTATTATCTGAACCGGTGTAAGGTAGTTATGTTGTGGATACCGTCCCACTGTGGAGTTCCTGGAAATGTAAGAGCTGATAAACTAGCTAAGAAAGGTGCAGCTGAAGAACAACCAGACATATCAGTCTCTAATCAACAGAAGAAGAGAATAATCAAATCAATCAGAATCTACCGAAACTGGCACAAGACGATTATCATATTATGGATTTCCAGAGCAAGTCATTATCCTTCGCCTTAGAACAGGGCACAATCGACTTCACAGCCAAATGTACACACAATGTAAGACTGGCGAATCAATCATGTGCACAAGTCAACAACATACTGGCATCCTACTACTGTAAAAAGGTAGCAGTAACAACCTGGTGCCAATGTTTTAGGTGGAGGGGCGCACAGAGGATACTAGTCTTATCCTAGGATGAGGAAATGCAATCTTAAAACCTAATGTTCTGGCAGGGCAGATCAGGCCCTCAGTTTTTGGTTGGCAGCTGGTCTTGGAGGGAAGCTCAGACATGCTTTGCTTCAAATACATTAGTGTTACCTTTTCTTTGGAGTAAACAAAACAGACGAGGCTGCATGGCCAAACACATGGCCCAATGTGCCTGAGGGTGTGGAAAAGGGTCCTTTTACTCACATATCACACAAACCTCTCACTGACTAAAGAGGTCTCACATTTAATAAACCTTTTATGGGATATGCAAGATCCATCCCTCTTGGATCCTAAAATATCATTTGTTTTACATAAATATTTTCCCCGTTTTACCCATGAGAGGATTCCATCAATGTTTCTTTTAAACTATTTACGTATTTATATTCTACGTTCGTTTCTCATTAAATGTAGGCAGTATCGTTTTTATTTTTTATTTAAAAGTTTTACAATCAGCAAATTGTTGCAGAATTTATGGCTGGAAAAAAAAAAAAAAAGAAGCTGTGGTGAACATTCATAAACATTTGAAACAGTCAACAGGGGCCCGAGAGTTAAGGCTTCAGTTTCACACAGGCGAAAGGTCATAGCAGTGGATGGAAATTATACAGAAAATTAGGATGTGTTAGGGATACATTGAGTTACAATGTCAGTGAATTTAATAAATTCTGCTCATAGTTTTGCAGGAGAACATGTGTAGCATTACTTTCTAAATCCCTCTCGTACATGTGAAGTTCTCAGGGAGTGAACATTTGTTCCGTGTCATATGAGATAAAACCTGCAGAATTTTTAACTTTTGTCATCTCACTGATACCAGGTTGTAGCCCAGTGTCGTGGTTTTCTGTATTTGTCTTGCACTTCTTGGGTGGCTATGGTGACAGATTTGTTATCTTCTTGCAGGTTTCTGCTTCATCATTTATCCATATCTTTCTTGGTCTATCTCTCTCCTTCCTCCCAGATTTTTCTGCTGTAAAAAGTCTCTCTGACTGCAGTCTCACTATGAGGCTGAATCTGGAGCAACGAAGCCAGTCTCTCACCCAGAGGCTTTTAAAACAACTCCATAAGTCACACTGCTATAATAACTACAGCAGCTACTTGACACACAAAATCTAACACACACCTCATATCTGACTCTCTGATACACTTCAGCTCCATTGTCCAACACTGTCAGATTATGGCAGGGCCCAGCATCTCCATTATACAGGAAAGTAAGATCACCTCTCTCCCAGTGCATCTCAGTGAAGTTGACTAATGTTGTGTCAAGCCTGCAAAAATAAAACCTATTTAGAAATAGTTTTAAATGTAACCATTTCAGGATCAGACCAATTTATTAAATCAAAGCATTATTAAAGGACCCTTTTCCTACCAATGGCATGTCAGGCATTTGTATTATACCCATAATTTTTATATTTATCCATGTATAAGAAGCCCCATGCATAAGACGCCACCTATTCTTTTTAGCCCAAAATTATAAAAATTAATACTTTCAACATATCCCATGTGTCAAACCAATTTGAAACTTCAAAATTTTGGGAAATCATACTGTCTTATACACGATAAAATACAGTTTAAAAAAAAAGAGACTTTATTAGGTGTCTGTTTAACATAAAGGGAAAGGGTCACACAGTGGAAAGACGCTCGCTTGCTGATTTGGTCTAGGGTTCAAATCAACACGGAAGCAGATTTATTTCAAAACTGACCTTGTCTCCCTGGTTGATTCTCACAATATGATGATCACTTTATCCATCGAGTGCTGACAAATACAGGTCTATTCCTTTATGCCTGATATGCCAGAGGATTAAAAAGGGTCCTTAATTATTCAAGTGCACCACATTTGTATGCCACAGGCTGAAAGATCTGATCAAACAGTAGTTAGTTACCTGGTGAGCCAATCAAACAGTAGTTACTTATCATGACATCACCACATCGACCACATGGTGCTAGAGTCCAATTTGTATAGACTAATTAACAACTGACTGGTGATGCGGTCACCATCAGGCTAGCCCCCTTTACTTACCAGGACATTTCTTGGCGCCGATTTTAAGCTGGAAGCCAAGGTCAGTTGCAAAATTATTTAGGTCAATGTGAACTAGAACCCAAGACCTTCGGGAGGGCAGGTAAGCATATAACACCTGTGCTACTGCAACTCCCTAATGTCACTTTTGAGTTGAGAGTTAAGAACTGACATCATAGCACTCTGGACATTCCCATAAGCGCTCGATCCCCATCTTAAGCAGCAAAAGCAGAGTTCAAATTCTCATGGTACCAGTAACAGTCTAATTGTATATTCATCTCGCCCCAGCCCTAGGTGTTTAGCGTCGGCCAGTTCTTCTTTTCAGACTGTTTACTTGCTCCCCAATGGTGTTTACAACATCGAGCTTGTGATGCAATAATTTACTACCAAGTGCTGTAGTGTGTTAATAATAAACAAATTTCAACAAAGAAATGGTACACTCACCTAATCTGAACTCCCCTCTTTCGTATACGACATATATCAGATGGTAATATTCTCGACACTAAAGGCACTGAAAGTGAATGTCAAACTATAAGTTAAAAATTACATGAATATTACCATACCATAAAATGATATCTCTTTTTCTTCCTCTTAGTATTTGGTTTTGTATGCTCAGGTGTTAGGTGGGCTGAATCTATGAATTCAGTTGCTAGTCCTCCATGGTTCTCCACAGTTTACTTTGCCCACTTTGCTTCTGAGGCCAGATTTCTCTACAAAGGTGTAAATACAGTGAGCAGCCTGCAGCATGTGCTGAGATGTTTGTAGCCAGTCTGACACATGCACACGGTGGATGCTGTACATTATCCTTTGGAATAGCACACTTATCTATCTTCAAAATGATAATTTATTAAATAACACATGTTGCAAATTATTTATACTGTAGTTCAATTTGTGTATAAATCTACTCAACAACAATGGTGAGCCCTGACCGGCCACGCCAGCCTCACAAAAACGGGAATGCCTGTTTGAGCTTGACAGTGTATTCTAAAGGAGGCGGTGGCAAAGCTTAGGGCCATAGACTGAACAGAGGAAGGAAGGTTTTGGATGGGCAAGCTGAAGACACAATTAGAAATGTCAGCAGCCTTGATAAATGTGGGCAAGGAGAGGAGTGGGTCAAAGTGCCTGAACAAGAATCAGCCTTGTGTAGGGTTCGAGCCCCCTTTAAGTTGTGAGTGCAGGGACTGGCCAGCTGGTGCCGCAGAAAATGCATTTACAACCTCTAAGCCACAAATGTAAATTTAGGGACAAAACAGAAGGAGTATAACAGAGGCAACTGATGCAAAAGATCACAATCACCCAAGAAGTGAAACTGTATCACAAATACACACCCCAGCTTTGAAAATCCCACTTCAGTTCTAGATCAAAGTCTCTGATGTACTTCAACGCCTGCACTATGAATGGTCGTCGCTCTTCTAAAGTTTCTCTTGACTGGTGCTTGAGTTTACGAAGAAGCAGCATGACTGCAGGAAAAAAATGTTCAAACACATTGTTATTCATTAAGTAAGATAATTCCTGAGTTTTAATCATATATTTATACTTCCCAATAATGGACAAAAGGGTGTTCTGCTGTTGTTTTCCCACTCCTGGACGCCATCTGAAGGCTTGACCACCCTGAGATTACAAAATCTCAGTCATGATGACAAGCCAACAGGACAAAATTCAGAAACCCTGTTCAACCTCCAAAGACGTTATAACTGGTGTGTGCCCGTGTCAGCTACAACAGCCTGGTGTAACTTGTCTGATACTGCTAACTGTCTGTGACTACCAAAATAGTGTCTATAGGGCTAATTTTAACAATTACATGACCTGTGTGAAGGCTCAGGCCTCAATTTGGGGGGACAGGAATAGACCCACTCCCCCACAATAAGCATGTCATACAAAGTGACTAACTAGAGGTGTTTCCTTTAAAGTTGAAGCGCATTTGCCTGAAGGAACCAACAGTCTGCATAAAAATAAGGCAGATCTGTAAAATGGATTTGCACGCAAAACTCAAGATCAAGAACAAGACCAAAGTCCAGAAATAGATGAACAACCAGAACTTTCCGCTAAGAACGTTAAGAAGAAGAACAACGACAACAATTACGTAATGAAAAGAAGAGAAATAATACTTTTGATCAAAACCAATCTTCAGTGTGACAATGTAAAATATCTGTAGACTGTAAATATGATAATATGAACAATGATGTCTATTGCACTATGGATGATAATATAGTGTTCATGATATCGTGATCATATAATGGTGGCTCAGAAGTTTATTCTTAAAGCTGTTACATGACAGTCCTAATACCAAGTTATCAGTCTATACAGCAAGTCTTGAGTACATCCTCTTAATTGAGTCCTAATCCACAATAGTTAATTATTTTTACAGGATATGTATAAAACTGTCACAGATAGCATTTAGTTGATGTACAATTATTTTACACACTGTGTAAATCTGTAACAGTATTATTCTCCTGCCCTGATGCTCACTTTACAGAGTGCTTCTCCTTGCTCTTTCTCCAGGTACCTCAGCAAAGTGTGTGTATGTGTGTGTGTGTGCGTGTGTGACCGGGGTGGGGGGGGGGGGGTGAAGGAGAAATGTAAGCACTATGTAAGCTGGGGTTCATTTGTCTAAAATGGCTTTTGATGCTGATGTTCCATATTTTGCTTGGTCTTCCCACTGCTCCTGTGCTGACTATATTTAGTCAACATGGATCACATTTTAGTCAATTTAGTAGTTGGTCAATTTTTAAAACGAGTCTTACTGAGGATTTAAAACCCATGCAGCACTGGACTCTCATGCAGGGGAACGTGGTAAGAAATAGAGATTTTGTTCCGTCAGCAGCAAATATAAACAATTCTAACCTGCACAGTGCGTAGAAATGCCACATGTCTTTAACCCTCCCCCCCCCCCACATCTTAAACCACCAAATGTTAAATACAGGCACTACATGTTATGCTGGACAGTTTCACGCCATGTCATGGAGGATCATATTTGTCAGAGTTTATTAAAAGTACACGAGACAGAAGGTTGTGGATAGACTTCCAATGCCACATGGCACTTTAAGAAGAAGACAGACAGTTTAACAATTTCAGTCCCAGAAGATCATATCTGATGCCTGACTGAAGCAATAATGATGACAACAAAAGCATATGTATACTGCAATAGGAAGTCCAAATACACAGCACATTGTGGATGACTTGTTCAGTGACACCTTTTCTTGTAGTCTTTTGAGTGTTGCCGATTCAATGTCCTTCTGCTCATCCTGCCTCCTTGAGAGCACTGAGAATGTCATGCCAGTCCATTGCCAATTCCCTGTACTACCGTAGCCCTGCCAGCAAGCCAGTCCACACTTTTCATTTCCTCTTACCCCAGAGTGTCCTGGCACATAAATGAAACTATATATATAGCACATGTTCTCAAAAGACAACACCAGTAGGCAGTGATACATACTTGTCTGTCTATCTCCATAACTAATGGCCTCAGCTAGAGGTGTCCAGCCCAAGGCATTCTTTAGCTTCACTGGAGCACCATGAGCCAGGAGCAAGTGAATACATTCTAGAAAAGATTATTTAACAGTTAAATGGGAATGTTTGTGATCAACTCACAAACAAGTACAAGTTTTCTCTTTCAGTATGCCCCACTGATTAAGCCAACTCTTTCTGTATGTATATGTTCTAGCTTAAAGCGGCTAATGTTTCAGTGCAGTTATGTTAGGATGAGTCAAGAATTGATATCACAGCACTCAGGGCATTCCCATGCATGCTCTGTCCTCATCTTCAGCAGCTAGCGCAGAGTTCCAATACTGATGGTACCGGTCACAATCTGGTTATATGTTCATCTTGCCTTTCCTCTGAGTGTAGCGAGCCGACCAGACCCTCTGGTTACACCCAGATACCTTATTCTCTCCAGGCCATAATAATCTTCTTACTCTACTGATTCCATTGCTTGTTCCCAAAGACCCGTGACCACAGTTGCTTCAGTGCAAAGAAGTTAAATTAATAACATTACAGAAAAACAAGGAACTAAACTAAAAATTCTGACTTCTGCCTTTAAATGAGCGGCTGGCACACTATTTGTTATTTTTATACTGTAACATCTGTACTTTTGGATCCCAGGTTGACAGCCTAAAATGGGCACCAGGTAAGGTCCTAAGAAGTAAAGGTGGCTGGGGTGATGCTGACCACATCACTCATTGAGTGCAAACTGGTCTGTCAAAATATGAGTCTAGCACCATATGCCTTATGTACCTATGGAGTTTTTAAAAAATCCATTTAACTTAATTAGTTGTTGCCTTTTATCACATTCTTCTTGTTAAGCAGATTTTGTGGGTTTCTCAATCCCATAAAATGAGAGCTCAGATCACACGGAAACATTTGATATTTTCAATTTAATCCTGCTACCAATTTCTAGTTTTAAAAAAAATATCACAAATGGTGACTAATAAAAGGTTTTGCTGAAATCAGATGTGAGGATCAAAATTGCAGCCTAGCTGTAAACCACAACAAAATGTGCCATCTGCTATTTTATTGGCAAATATAGAAAAAGCAGAGGCATGAGACAGGAGGATATAAGAGTAGTAATGTACAGAAATGAATTGTAATACTATAAACTCAAGTTACTTTTAAAGTAATCTGTCATCTACTGTGTCTTTGACTCTCAACCTTTCTGAGCGGTGATATTCTGTATCTTACACAGAAGTAGAATCTGTGTTGCATTTGCCTCCTCCTGCATTTCAAACCAGTTGATGCTCTTTGATAACACTGTTTATGCTTCTGAGTGGCTAGTTTCAGGTGTCTGGTTTAGAATTGATAATTCATCATCATTTCCAGCCTTCAGAAGATGGAAGAATTCATAAAGAAATCCAACAAAGATGAACTGAAGCCAATCAAGTGTTAGGCCAAATGGCACTAATTCTGAAATGCAAGCATGTGAATATGACCAGTAAAAGAACACTGTTCAACACAATATTCTTACCAACACTATGCCATTAATGTCAAACAGGGACAATGTCTTCAGAAGACAGAAGAAAAATAGTCATGACAGAAATGAAATGTTTACATACCCTGCTAGGTGTGGCAAGGAAAAATCAACTTATGAACGATGATATCAGGTGGAGAGTCGGCACAGAACCAATACTGAACTTTATAGGTAGACAACAAATCAAATAGTTTTGCCATGCAAGATTGGCATCATACCGGGCACATCAAAGAGCAATGTTATACAGATACAACTTTAACAGAGCCAAAGGTCGACCATGCAGAAAATGGACTGCAAAATATCAGACATCGAAAAGTACTTTTTATATATGTATATACATATATATATGAAGCGAACAGAAAAGCCCATTCCAGAGATCTTTTCCCGCCCTGACACCACAAGCATTCCAGGAGTAGAGGAAAGAAGAAGAAGAAGACTTTCAGCTTACACAGCAGGGTGTAAAAGTAATCTGTGGACAATTTTGCTTGCTCGTTTATAATCACGCATCCTTTTTTTTTTTAAAGACAATGAAGTTAACAGAAATTGACGATTAAACGAGTGAGGTTAATAAAAGTTTCATTGTATATTATATGCTGCAAGTAGAGCCGCTCAAGCATGTGCAATATGGGCAGCTGTACTTTGTAGGCACCAACATTTTTAGGGCGGCATAATAAACTATAAGTAAACAATGTTAATCTGTTTTATTGCTTTTATCATTATGAAATCCACACAAAATTAGCACTATGGGATTAAATTTGCATGGCATTAATAGTGCATCACCTCACCTTTAGATTGAAGCACTTCATTGACTTAAAACAAATTAATGGAGTTTGGAACCATAAGCAGCAGGATGAGCCGTGCTCTTACTGATTAAGTCAACTCATTTTTTTAACTCTTTATCTATTGTGTATTATGTTTCAATATTTCAAAGGAGTTTAAAACCGAAATAAATAAATTACTTTTGGTAGTATTTAAACAAATAGTGATGCCGAGGTTTAGCAGAGGGAAGAGGGGGCATGAATGCATAGAGAGGTCATGCATCCTAAATACAGATCAGACTGTAAGCACATCTTCTTCATTCAGGGATGTTCTTTATAACAACCTTAGACGATAGCTGCATTGTATCCATTTCAGGCAAAGGTGAGTTTGGTGTGCCTTTTCAGCTGCAGTAATCAAGAGTTTCAGAAGAGTCACAATAGCATTTTCTTTTTCTTGTGTCTAGTGTGTCTTCTTATCTCTATTTCACTCTTACAATTCTAAGAGTGTCAATAAGAACTTGCTAATTTATTTTCCACAACCCTAGCCTACCTGAACAATCTTATATTCCCTGAAAATGTTTACGTTTTCTGAATGATCTGATATTCCATTAATTCGTTAACTTAATCTTTTTCATCTTAGCATTCAGTAGCTGTAAACTCTGGTTGAAAGTTCTGGTTGTTCATTTACTGCTGGACTTTAGTCTCAATCCAACACTTCAGTTTTGCATGATCCATCTGTTTTACAGATCCAGCTTATTTGTATGCAGACTCTTGGTATACCTTGAACAATCTGATATCCTTGAACTTAAGACAGTCTTATGAACCCACTGAAGGTAACTTCTGTTTTACCAACACACCACTTTCACTATCAAACACAGAAACTGCTAATGTTTTTTTTTGAAAGCCAAATAATTACAATAGCCTGTTAAAACTAGACTTACCTTTGTGTCCCATCATAACGGCAATATGGAGAGGAGTGTTACCTGTGGGGCAAAAGTGTTTTTGCAAGAAATTAATTTTCCACTTAAACATTATTAAGACATATAGTCAAGTGCAATACTGATCTATGTAAGTAAAGTAAAGGTTCCTTTTCCATGCCTTAATTTTTTTTTTTTGGGCGGGGGGGGGGGGTGTCCCCTTTATTTCAATTCTGTATGTTTGCAAGTATTGTGTTTTCCTGCTATCGTGTGAATATTTGTCTGTTTGCTTGTGTATTGTTAGTCTGTTTACATTTGTTGCCTTTTGTTTATGTCTGTTTTGTGTTATGTGCAAAAAGTTAAAAACCACAAAAAAAGGAGAAGAGAAGGGTATTAAGGGAGACAGTGGTGAGTCTGGAATTTCCATATTTTGAAAAACTGTCTTAAGAGCTTGGGCCGGATCCTCTTCTGGTTTTGATGGTAGTTTGGAGGGTATTTCGCCTCGTTGTTTTTTTTGTCTACTTGCCGCATCAATTTCTTTTGTTGTCATCTGTTGTCGCTCTCATAGAGGTCTCCACTGTTTTGGGTTTATCTTTGTGAATGTTGTTCCTGATGTGCCCCCGCGTTTACTGTGGGTGGAAGGGCCTTCGATGTTCTAGGTCTCGCCTCTTTCTCTCCTTGAGATTGAGGATTGTTTGCTTTAGATTTCTTCCGACTGGTTTCTGGTTGTGCTGACTTCTAAACTGTTTGGGTTGGTGTTGGGTTGACTTCCAAGATCTCCGGAGTTGTGGCTGGGGATGTCTGTTGTCGCTGCCTCTTTTCCGAACACTTGTTTGACCAGTGGTCGTCCTGGTTACAGTACATACATGCAATCCTTCGGTCAGGCATCGTAATTAAAACTTTGTGGTTACGCTTAGTTATGCCTGGGGTTTCAACATATATATAGTGGGGTATTGCTCGTGTTGGCTTACACATCGCTCCCCACTTCCTTTTGTCGTGATGAATAGGGAAGACTTCAGGTTCACAATCTCCCGTTATCGCCTTAACGATGTCCATCACCCCATCGGTGTTCAATTGGCTTGGTAGCCAGTTCAGTGTAATCCGTTTCCTCTGCTTCCCGTACTGTTTAATTCTGCAGGTGATATTGTCTTTTTCCAGGGTCACTGATTTGCCATGCAGGGTCTGAAACAGTTTTTTGTGACCTCTTTGTGACAGGCAGAAAAACCATTCTGTCGGGCTTTCGTATCGGTACAGATCTATGATATCCTCTGGCGGTATGGCAAAGGGGCCGATTAACATGGTCATCATGAAACCAGGTTTGCCCTTTGCAGCCGCCATAGGTCCATCAAGGGTGCAGACTAGCTTGTCGTGCCTATGTAGTGTCGGGTCTTTATATTTGTTTGGAGGTACGATGATTTTCTCCGTGTTTGATGACATGTTTTCCAGGTTTTTAAAATCTCTTAAATTCCTTTAAAACACAGTAATCCAAATGAATTGAACAATATAGTCCAGTTGAAATATAGTAATCCAGTGTAGGGTTATGAATATCCACTTTGTACATGAAAATCTTAACATAATTTCACAAACGGTAGACCGAAATCCACCATCTTACTTGAATAGGAAAATCTCACTATTGTGTTTACAAGCGGTGGACCGAAATCCGCCATCTTGCTTAAATATGAAAATCACAATATAGTTTCAAAAACGGTAGACCGAAATCTGCCATTTTGCTTGAATATGGAAATCTCAAACTATTCTCACAAACAGCAGGCCGAGAACCGCCATCTTGCTTGAATCTTAGAGCAAATAGGGCTAGACCTATATTTCTATAGACCAATCGGCACAAGATGGGTGATGTGGTCAGCATCACGCCGGCAACCTTTACTTCCCGGGACTGATCTATGTACTCACACTTCAGAAACTGAACGGTTTCTAGTTTCTCTTTTTATGCTCTCTCATTCTGTCAACATGAAATATCATTCTCATCAAGCAGGACTTTTGCAGATGCTCCTATCCCACTTGTCAACAACCAAAATATACCAGAAATGAAATAGCTGATATTTACAAATTCTGGTGTGCTGAAAACAAAAACTACATTAAAAAATCTGGACTGGCTCTAGTTTTCAAGATAAATACTAGTAGTTTATTTAATTATGATCAATTAATACATATGACGCAACTGTTGTGGGCAAGGCAAATGTGGCATGAGAGGATAACAAGCATTAGCATGTCAACATTGCAAGGACTCCAGTGGATATACCGTGTGGGACATCATGGAGTGTGAGGGAATGAGACAGCAGAATTTCTGGCTACAAATGCGATAGCTAGATGAACATTCAGACTGAAAGAGGTGAGATTCTGAAGACCATTTATGAGGGAATGTTGACAGAAGACATTAATGTTATTTGAAATAAGTTGTCTATCAATGTGTGAATGAAAATTTGGTGTGGATCCAGCAAGAAGGGATGCATGAGAGACAGTAATTTGCAACCCGGGGAACATTTAGCATTTATACCCTACAACTACACTTTAAGACAGTAATTTGCAACCCGGGGAACATTTAGCATTTATACCCTACAACTACACTTTAAGACCGTAATTTCCAACCCGGGGAACATTTAGCATTTATACTATACAACTACTTTAAGACAGTAATTTGCAACCCGGGGAACATTTAGCATTTATACCCTACAACTACACTTTGAGACAGTGATCTCCAACCGGGGAAACATTTAGCATTTATACTCTACAACTACTTTAAGACAGTAATTTGCAACCCGGGGAACATTTAGCATTTATACCCTTCTATACTTTGAGACAGTGATCTCCAACTTGAGAAACATATAGCATTTATACTCTACAACTACACTTTGAGACAGTAATCTCCAACCCGGAGAATATATAGCATTTACACCCTACAACTACACTAAGTAGTACACAGTAATCTTCAACCTGGGGAACTAGCCCTCCACCCCCCCCCCCCCCACCCCCCAACCTTTCCAAGGGGAAATGAGGAATTTACAAGGGGAGGGGGCGTAAAGCAATTTTTGGTAATGAGTACATCTGTGGTAACATTTTTTAAAATTAATTTCAAGTATTTTTTAAAGTATTTATAAAACAAAAAGCAAAATAAGTGTTTGTTTTCATGAGCCGTTTGCACATCTAATGTTGAAAATCTAATTTGAGACTAGATTTTTTTTCGCAGAAATAGATATAGTTTACCATAGCATATAGACGTTTGTCCGAAATGCTAGCATGCACATGACACATTTCTACTCATATTCAATAAAAACAAGTAAGACCCCGACTCTAACCGTGAACATCTTTTTGGGCGATATCGCACATTCTGATGAGTTTAGAGACTTGTTTAATATCGCCACTGAAGACGCTTTGATGCAGTGGAAACTGATCCAACAACGCCATGTTTACTTTTGTTTACATTTATATGAAAAATGTGGAAGTTGTTAAACGAGACAAATTTTATATCTATGTATATATATGAATATGTGTGAGTGTGTAGGCAATTCGGAAGAGTGCCTTTTATATATATATATATATATATATATATATATATATATATATATATATATATATATATACAATGGAACCTTGCTTCACGAGCACCGCTCAAAGCAAGTAATTCGCATAACGAGCAAAAAAAATGTGTAAAAAAAATGACTTGCCTAACGAGCGACGCTTCACATAACGAGTGGCGAGGAGAGGTGAATTCCCGGATTGTGCGCATGTTACATCCGTCTGTGTTTAGCACTCGTTCCAGTAGCATCGTAGTGTCTCGCTTGTGATCACACATTTTCTCAAACTTGTGTTATATTGTGTTATATGTACATGAATACAAATTAATTGAAATAATTATTAGGAAGATAATTAGGAAATAGATTTGTAATTTTGTGTGTGTGAAAAGCTTAAAAAACCCCTGCAAAAATGTCCCCGAAGAAAAAGCAGGAAAACAGCCATAAGAGGGTAAAAATAACCATGGAAATGAAACATCAAATCATTGAAAAGCGAGAACGAGGTGTAAGCGTGGCTGATCTAGCACGCACATACAATCGGTCTACATCAACGATTTGCACTATAATCAAGAACAAGGACAAGATTAAGGAGATAGATGCTTCCCAGGGAGTGACAAGAATATCTGCGCAACGGTTACGTATTCTCGACGATGTTGAAAGGTTGCTTCTTATCTGGATAAATGAAAAGCAATTGCAAGGTGACACTATTAACGAGAACATCATCTGTGAGAAGGCGAAAATGATTTTCGCCGACCTCGTTAAGAAGAAGTCAGGATCATCAACAGCCGAAGAAGAAGTATTTAAGGGCAGCCGTGGGTGGTTCGAAAAGTTCAAGAGGAGAACAGGCATTCACAGCGTTGTCAGGCAAGGTGAAGCAAGTTCTCACACAAAAGCGGCAGAGAATTTCATCGGCGATTTCAAGAAGCTCGTAGATTCTGAAGGTTACTTGCCGCAACAGGTTTTTAATTGTGACGAAACAGTTCTCTTCTGGAAAAAGATGCCGAAACGAACGTATGTAACAGCAGAGGAGAATGCATTGCCCGTCCACAACCCAATGAAAGACCGTCTCACATTGCTATTTTGTGCCAATGCAAGCGGCGATTTGAAAATTAAACCGCTGCTGGTTTACCATTCAGGAGCTCCACGAGCCTTCAGTAAATGCCAAATCCAGCAGAGCAGGCTAAATGTAATGTGGAGGTCCAACAGGAAGGCTTGGGTGACACGTGGCCTTTTTACTGAGTGGATCAATGAAGTGTTTGGTCCTTCTGTGAAAAAATATTTGCTTGAGATGAATCTGCCACTTCATGTCTTGCTTGTTATGGATAACGCTCCTGCCCATCCACCAGGTCTACAAGGTGACCTCCCTGAAGAATTTAAGTTCATCAAGATCCATTTTCTGTCTCCCAACACCACTCCGTTACTCCAGCCCATGGACCAGCAAGTTATTTATAACTTTAAGAAGCTCTACATTAAAGCACTCTTCGAACATTGTTTTCAGGTGACTGAAGGGACCAACCTCACTCTCAGAGAGTTTTGGAAAAATCACTTCCACATCCTTGTCTGCCTCAAGATGATCGACAAGGCGTGGGAAGGGGTTACCGAGAGAACCCTAAATTCTGCTTGGAAGAAGCTTTGGCCGGAAAGCGTTGTCGAATGTGACTTTAAGGAGTTCGAGACAGTGCCTGTGGAACCCGTAGTCAACGAGATTGTGTCTTTGGCAACTATTATGGGATTGGAGGTGGATAACAGTGATATCGAAGAGCTTGTAGAAGAGCGCAACCAAGAGCTGACCACCGAAGAGCTTATTGAGTTACATTGTGTTTCACAGCAAGAAGTTTTGGAGGAAAGTTCGTTAGAGGAGGAGGAGGAGGTAACAGAACAGCAACAAACTTCTGACGAAATAAGAGAAATGCTGAAAGCATGGGAAACTATTGCATCTTACATTGAGAAGCATCACCCTAATAAGGAAGTTGCTATGCGCGCTGCAAATTTATTTAATGATAATGTTGTGTCGCATTTTCGCCAAATTTTGAAGCATCGGCAAAAACAAGTGTCTCTGGACATTTTTCTAGTAAAAAATAATTAGGTATGTATCATAATTATTTACATTTTTTTCAGATCGAATTCGTATTTCAGGTGTGTTCGTTTCGTAGTGGAAGAAAAAATGAAGATGATTCACTCTCCGTAACAATATGTATATAATTTTCTGTGTATAAACATAACATAACATTTTGTGAGTATTTTTTCGACATGGAACGCATTATCGTATTTTACGTTAATTTTTATGAAAAAAATTGTTTCACATAACGAGTATTTCGCTTTACGAGTATGATTCTTGAACAAATTATGCTCGTTAAGCGAGGTTCCTCTGTATGTATTATATATATATATATATATATATATATATATATATATATATATATATATATATATATATAAGGTGTGCACGTGTGTGAACAAGTGGATAGGTGGGAGAGCGTGAGTGTACACGTGATTGATGTGTGGGCGTGTGAGTGTTTGCGAGCAAGCGTGAGTGTACAGGTGTTTGAGTATGCGTGAGAGAGAGAGAGAGAGGAGAGAGGGGGGGGGGGGGGGTCACGGGAAAATTCAGCACTCGCGCTCATACCGCGTGTTGTGTATTTCACCATGCCAGAGCATTTAACACTTATAAAACATTTAGATACTGGGTCAAACACACAACCCCCCTAGATAATAACAAAACCTATGTCACAGGTCGTCTCTTTCTCGGAAATCATCATCGTCATCATTATAAACCACTTCAGCCGTTAAGCGCCGTGGGGAGGAATAATTTTCGATCCAGTGCATGTTGGCTGCCACTAGCTATTGTCATGCCATGAAGGCGTAGAGTGTCTTTAATGTCGATCCATTTTTTCCGCGGCCGTCCTCTTGCTCTTGTAGCTGATCTTCTGAGATATAGTGCTTGCGATGGTATTTGATCTTGCTGCATTCTAAGGAGAGGGCCAAACCACTTGATCTGCTATTTCTCGATGAATCTAGTACAAGGGGTCGTTCCTACAATTTGTCTGATAGTTTCATTATTCACTCGATCTCGGATGGTTAGGTTGGCTGCTTTTCTCAGGCACCTCATCTATTTCTCGGAAATAGAAACATATATACCAGACAACAAACTGCGACACCCATAACCTCGACCACGGTAGACTAGTCCAAAGAACTTATCATTGGAGTTGACCTACAACTGGGGATATGCTAATGGAGAAACGAGCGTAAAATTGACCAGGAAGTGAATAGAGATTTATCAGATAGGCCCTTAACAGAGAAATAATCAGTTGAGGAACGAGTATCCCCAAGAGAAACCCTATGACGAATGTTGAGAGGCAAAACTCGATTAACTGGATTTTACACATGATGTTGAAAGAAATGGACCATATAAAACAGGGTTTGGGGAATAATGGACGGCGACCTTATTCGACGTATAAACGCTATATATATATATATATATATATATATATATATATATATATATATATATATATATATATATATATATATATATATGTGTGTGTGTGTGTGTGTAAAATTTCCTGTGTGTTTATGGGTCCCATTGTGTGTGTGTGAGGGAGGGGGGGGGGGTACCAGAACAGACCCACTGCCTCCTCAACTAGCATGTCGTAAGAGTCAACTAATTGGGGACTACCTTGGAAGTCAGAGCACATCTGCCCGAATGGCAAGGAACAACCAACTGCACACAAATAAGCTAGTAAAACGAATGTGCACGCATAACTTAGGCCCTGACACAAAGCCAAAGTCAAAATGGACGAACAATCAGGACTTTCTATCGCAGCTTACAGCCAGTGAACAAAGAAGAGATACAAATATACCTTTTATGTCTAAATTTTCTAATTAGTTTACGCCTTTCATCTGTCTCGAAGAAGACAATCGCATGTATTTCGAAGACTGTCTCGTGTATTTGGAAGACTGTCTCGTGTATTTGGAAGACTGTCTCGTGTATTTGGAAGACTGTCTCATGTATTTGGAAGACCATCTCATGTATTTGGAAGACAGTCTCTTGTGTTTTTTCATTCACCCTAAGATATGTTTCTCATTTTTCGGGGAAAGGGGGGGGGGGGGCGGAGGAGCTGCGTGGCCTAGGTGTATGGTGTCCGCCTTGAGTGCTAGAGACCCCGGCCTGTTCACGTGGACTTCTAGTAATTTCACCTGGTCTGTGGGTAGTGAGATCGGATGCCCGTGTGCATTGTTGCACACGTACAAAAATCCCTTGGCAGTTGGAAATCGAAAAGAGTAGCCTAACGGCGCTGCCCGAGCTAAATTTGGAGTTTAAAATTTACCCAAAATATTTCAGGATCCTTGCCTGTGCACTGCGCTGTTACTTCAAATTCACACTTGAGTTAGAAGTAGAACGGAGCACTTAGCCTATGGGTTACTACCCGTGTGCCATGATGTTGATCGGTTGTTTAAACTTCGCGTTCTTCTCAAAAACCAAATCTCTATTGCGAGTAAATGTTTTTTCAGCTTGTCTGCTTGCAGTCCACGTCTAATATATGTATAACTAGCTGTACCCGGCCACGCGTTGCTGTGGCATAGTTTCACTAAACAGAAATGAAAGAAAATAGAAATCGCACGTGTCTAATACAATCATTGTCTGCTCAGATATAGAGATAGTCTTTGATCCCCGCCCCCCCCCCCCTCACCACCACAACTAAATCCACCCACTACTCTCTCCCTCATCAAAGGTTTTTGGAAAAGAAAGACAATGGAAATCGCACGTGTCTAATATAGTTGATGTCGCAATCATTCTCTGCACATATATAGAGATAGTCTGGTTTTCCAACTTTAGAACACGCACCTTCTAATTCAAATTCTCTTTCGTTGACCACTTTCAGCTAGGTCCGC